TCTGTGACAGCAACCTGCCACTAAACATGCTCCTCTTGTCTGTGATGATGGTGTGCAGTGGGTGGCCATCATCTTCCATAATGGAGAGCAGTTTGTGCAATGTCCTTCTCTCGGCCACCTTAGCCACAGAGTCCAGTTCCACACCGACCACTGACCCCACTCACCTGACCAGCTTGTCCAGTCGCATCTTGTCTCTCTTTTTCAAGCTTCCGCCCCAGCACCCCACAGCTTTAAAAAAAGACAAATGGCATCCACAGTCAGATAGAACCTAGCTTCCTACAGATGTTGAAGGACCCCATTGAACACCTTTGGGATGTACTAGAACAAAGATTGAGAGCCAGGCCCTCTCGTCCAACATCAGTGACTGACCTCACAAATGCTCTTCTGGACGAATGGGCAAAAACTCCCACAGACACTCTCCAACATCTTGTAGAAAATTCCTAGAAGACTGGAAGCTGTTACAGCTGAAAAGGGGGGACCAACTCCATATTAATGCCTATGGATTTAGAATGGGATGTCATAAAAGCTCCTGTAGGTGTAATGTGTAGGTGTCCCAATACTTTGGTCCATATAGTGTATATGTGTGTGTGTGTGTGTGTGTGTATTCACAGAGGCATGCACTATTTTTTTTCTTCATTTTTTAAACGTATTGTATGATTGAGCAGGGCTCAATGTTCCCCAAATGTTCAGAAACAGGGCCCCAAATGTTCAGAAACAGCTCTGTGCATAATGCATGTAAAAACAAGCACACGGGTCTTGAAAAAGAGCACAAAGCAGCTAGCTAAACAGCTTTTACCTGTATTCAGGCAGATGAGTGATCTGCTAGTCTTTGCATGTTCAGCTGTGTATCTGGCTGTATGATCAGTCCTTCTGTCAGCGTTCTGCTGAGATGATTTCCACACTGTGTGCAGCAGTGGAGGAGTGTGCTTGTGTCACTCTCTACACTCTGAGTTGTCTTGCAAGCCAAACTTTTGCCTACACACCCAGCAACATGTCTGCACTGTCACACAGGAAGTGTTGAGGGCTTATATCCTACATTTTCTCATATTTTATTATTTCCCCTGTGGTCTATCTATGACATTTGTGTAGTTTTATGTACCAGAAACGATCACTATTAATTTTTACATGACCATTTTCCAACCACTCCTTATCCCTTAGAATTAAACTGGCCATGTCTTAAGACAGACGTATGTAAATCCTCTCTTGTTGCTGTTGACCCTGTATTGTGCCTTTTTAACAAAGCGGCCCGGGCTGAAACACTCCTTATAACTTCACTTATAATGGACGGAGCTAAACTGCTGTAGGCCTGAATAGGATATAAGTTAAACATGCTGGTTTTTGTGACATCACGAAAGTAATGAATTCAAAACAGGCTGGTTTTGCAGCTTAATTTCCATATATGGCCTATATGGACAGTTACAAAAGTGAAGGAAATTAGATTTTGCATTGAGTTATAGTAAAAATGAAACTTGTTTGGCTAAACCACCTACAGGGTGCTTCCCAATTCTCACCACACTCTCGTTCTCAAAGCATAAAGAGGGCAGAACAAAAAAGAAGCACAAAAAGTCAATTCATTCTGAATCTTTAATCCATTAAAGTCAAAGGAAATGTATATAGATAAATACTTCAATGTTTCAATGCTCATAAGTATATACCTTAGTTTCACTGTAGTTACTGAAGTATAAGTTTTAAGATTAGAGTAAATATTCAGCCCGGGGTTCAAGGGGTTCACTGCATAGCATCTGGTAATATGGATATAATTACTACAGCGACGATATGGACAGCAATGATCTCACTGAGACGTGGCAATCAGGCTCTGTGAATGTGGCTCCTGGAATACTGAATATAATACTATAAAACAATACTGAATATCGCAGGTCCTTCCTTCCTGCTGCTGTTAGACTGTACAACCAGCACTGCTCCCAGTAGAACCCTCACCCACCCAGCCCCATTAGACCTCACACACCTACAGTAGGTAAACTGTGAGTTCATCACCATACCAATATAATCAGTACTTCATGTGCAATACTCACCGTGCAATGTCCCGTGAGCAATACATGTAAAATATCCTTGTAGTGTAAAGATTTTTTTGCTTTTCTATTCATAATATTTAAATTGCTAATTCATTACCATACTTACGTGCAATATAATCAATACCCTCATGTGCAATACGTGTAAAATATTCTTATAGTGTAAAGATTACTTTTTTTTGCTTGTGTTTTTTTCTGTTTTTTTTTTTTTGGTTAATTCTCTTCTTGCTTTTTTGAGTGTTTTGCTATCCCTTTGCTGCTGTAGCACTGTAAATTTCCCTGTTGTGGGACTAATAAAAGATTATTTTACCTTATCTATGTGTTTGCAGTAGATGTTTTCTTAAGAAAGGATTCCATTTAAACAGAAATAAAAGCATAGAATTACAAAGAAAATAAATAATTACTACATGGAAATAATCGTTATGCAGTATTAATAAATGTCTTAATTACCAATAACTACTGTGAGATATTTCATTAAATGCTGAGTGCCATTTTGAAGCTGCACTTCGTAAGTTCTGGGGATTTGGAGACGTCTCTGGTGGAAATTTGTAATTGCACACAACATTTTGTGACATGGCTTGTGCTTGGGACCCTTTCCCCAAGTGGGTGAATCTGATCATTTCGAGAGCGTTGAGTATTCAATAAGAACTCACTCAAAAATTGGTGAAGGACGTGTCCTCTGAGGATTTAAGCGAATTATCTACAATTGTCAACCTATCGTCATGGGTATAATGATGATTTTGCATTTGAGACCTAAACATCGAGTCAGACCTTCTTTTTAAGCCTGTGGGTGTGACGTTAATATGTAGACGTCTCTCATGGTCTAAAAAACATAAAATCCGACCTGACACCTCTGACATTTAATTATTTCAGGCTTTGCAGGCCAACAAACAGCAGCGCACGAACACCATATTTTAGCCTGTTTCTCTGTCTCCTAACTCAGTAGCACTACTTCTTACATCATTCTGCTTTAAACACACTGTATGAGTTAACCAGGCTTTTTGTTAATGTGCCTTTAAGACCGAGGTCTGTTCTGATTGGCTGCTTTCTATTGTACTTCATTCAAGAAGCAGTCCAGGCTGAAATACTCCTTATAACTTCAGTGTGAATGGGTGGGGCTGAACCGCTATAGGCTGAATAGGTGGCTATATGTAAATGTGTTGGTTTTTTGGGCTGTTTTGCAGCTTAGTGTCCATATATGGGCTGTAAGAAGTGGGGAGTGAACAGTATGTGTTGAGAATTTAACAATGTTTGCATTCAACATGGTGAAGTGCCACAAAATCCAATCACAGTCATGCTTCCTGTAACCGCTCCTTAGATAAACACTCAGGTAGGAGCCAGCTCACAGACATCTGATATGGAGAACAATGATCTCAGTGAGATGTGGCAATCGGACTCCGTGAATGTGGCGTCTGGAATACACAATACTGAATATCTGTATTTACAGTAGATGTTTTATTAAGAAAGGATTTAATTAAACAGAATACAAACGTCATTTCACAGGAATTGTTTACACATGATTGGCACAGAACATTTTTCTCATGTGTGAAGTAAAAAACAGCGCACAGTATGTTCTAATAGCGCATAGTAACACATCGTTCTCAGCTCTATGTCATTACTAAAGTTGAAATGAGATGGAAAATGAATGTGCCGACTGGCATTTTTGCTTTATTTACAGCTAGACTCATAAATACAAGCGGTAATCTTTGGTAACAAGAGTTGTGACAAGGCACAGTTTGCCAGTGCTCAAATGAGAAAACGTTAAAAGATGCATCCAGTGAGAACTGACAAGCCTTGCTCAGTATATCATCGCTGACCAAGACAAATTGGAGTAGAAGGCAAAAATGGTCTCAACTTTGAATGTAAGTTGATGCAAAGAAGTGGTATTCCAAGTGACTGTGGAATATTTCTTTTTGTCTGTTCAGCATGAAATATTTACACAATGTTAGGGCAGCTGCTGTGTCCAAATCATGCTTCTTGGACAGTGATGATATAATGAAGTTCCAGGTTAATGACTGTGATTAATAGAAACATGTGAAATGCCACAATACTAAAACAGTAGCAGCCCAAACTCCCTATAAATCAGTGTTGGGAGAAACAGGATAGTTATGAATACTGCACTCATTCTAAAACTCACTCTATTTTGTTTATATTCCGCAGTCCACTACTAACATTTGTGTAGTTTCATGCAGTCATAGTTCACATTTACATGAATGAGTTCACTTACAGAATTAAACATGCTGTTTTTGTTACTGTGCCTCTAAAACTGATGTAAATGAGCTCATATATGTAAATGACTGGCTGTCCTGTATTGTGCATCATTCAAAAAGCAGCCCAGACTGAAACACTCCTTATAACTTCAAGGTGAATGAGTGGTGCTAAACAGCTGTGGGCTATAACAGGTGTATGAAAATGTGTTGTTTTCTGTGAGATCATAGAAACAGTAGCAGTTTGCAGTGTAGATCCCACATGTAAACTGTGTGGACTGGTACATTTTGAACGTAACAATGTTTACATGCTACATCAGACTCCAAATTCAAGGAGGTGAAGAAAACGTTGAGAACTTCCATGATACGGGCCCTTTAAATCAGGGGTTAGACATTAATTGTTTCATTTTGGTTCACTCCAAACAGAAACAGCATTTTTTCACATTTGTCCATGAAATATGACAAAAGTACGTTGATAAGAAGGCTATTCAGACAGTAACGTGTAATGTAACGTTATGCGTGAACTTCGGCTGGATGAGTCGCCTACTTAACATTACTGCCAATGTATTCTCCTCAGCACTGGACCTGCCTCGGATGGAATCCAGCCTACATCCTTAAAAACTAGCGATGTACTGTATTTCGTTACTGTACTTAAGTGCCTGTATAAGTATCTGTATTTTTATGAAGTATTTCCATGTTTTGAGACTTTAACTTTCACTCTAATACATTTCAAAGTTAAAGGGTAGTTCCACATTTTTTTAGAAGCCGGTGCCAAAGTTCAGAAGGTAGAAATATAGGCAGTTGTTATATTGCTTTTTGAACATTTTACAAAGGGCTGTTGAAAACATGCAAGTACTCATAAAATACAGTGTTCATTCTGGAACAGCTGAAAGTGACTGTGTTCCTGTTTTGGATTATGTTCTGCAAAAAAATGTTCATTCTTAGTTTTCCTTTTCGTTCCCTTTACTATGATCTAGTTTTTCCGTTATTTATTTCTGCAGAACGTTCGTTTCACTTGCATAAATCCATGTTTTAGCCACATTACAAACAAATTGTACTTTAAGTGATGTGTTTTTTCTACACACAAAAACCATAAGGAACATGTTGTGGAGTTCCTTTCAAGCTTATTAAATAACGCATTTATTCTGACAGTCTAGATAGTATTTGGATATTGTCTACAACTGTTTTGTAAAAGGCTTGAAACAGGCATGTTATTGCTGAACTGCAGCTGATAATGCAGGGCTCTGAAAGTGAAAATCTACTCTTGTTTACATTGAAATAATAATGTTCAGAAATCTGACTAGTCAAGACATCTGTAAAAATTCTTGCATGTAAACAACATGACAAACAAACCCCAATTCTCTGGCAGTCACTGAGCTGAACGTGAAGCCTTCGTGGTGCTTAGAAGGCAGAGAGGGCCTTGGCCAATCGAATCCAGAACCAGGACTGCGTACACGGTCTGGTGTAGTCACAGACAGTCAGGAAGCGAAGAATGCTGGGAAAAGGCCTCTTCATAGGCTTGTATATCACAGGGATCAGCCGTTTGGTACGAGCCCCTACAGAGAGAGAAAAAAAAAACGGATGAGATGAAGCCATTTCAATTATTTTGATGATTAAATTCAATAGTTAGACTTTTGAAAGAGGCCAAATAATAAAAATTGACCTAATTCAACAATAAGACACCATTAACAGCCTTTCTGTAATGACATATAGACAGAATTTCATGATGTTTTCAAAATTTTTGCACAATTACATTGTCAAAATGTAAACAAAGTCATTCATAGTGGTTTGGTGTGAAACGCTCCATTCAAGAGAAACTTACAGAGCCAGATCAGTTCACAATGGTGGTGACAGGAACCAGACGTCTGAAACATTTAATGCCTCTAAAAGATCCCTCACAGCAAGCTATTAAATGACATTGTCCTTAGGCATTGTTTTATGAGAGTTTAAGATAAGCAATTGGCCTAAAACATATTTTCTAAAACATGTTCATGGTGGAGGATCTACATGTAAGGCATGTAAGGCACAGTCCCCAAAGAAAACATTATTTCAGATTTGCCACTATTTTATCAGAAGACACTTGTATATTCACTGGAAATAAGGTTATATTTGCATTGTAGACATTGTGACCCCTGGTTCCTATCAACACCACTGTAAAGAAGTCTGTAGGTTTCTCTACAATGAATCATTTCAGATCAAACCACTCTGAACGGCTTTGTGTACTGCTCAACAACTGAATTACGCAGAAATTTTGAAAAATCTGTGGAATTCCCCTTTGAAAAACAATATGTGGCTAAAAATGTGTGTCTATCCAGCTGTTTCTTACTATAAGAGGGAGCAGCAGTACAAGAATAACAAGTATCTCCAAAATGGTAACTTCACAGGAGAAGGCAAAAATGTTTGTTACTTTCAATGTAAATTAGAGTAAAAATATTTTATTCTAAGTCATTTTGAAGCATTTCTACTGATCCATTCATCATGAAATTTTCACAAAATGTAAAGGACACCTGCAGAGCTCAAATGATGCAAAAAAACAAAAATCGATGACAATGGAGATACAATATGGATTATTATCATGCAAATTCAGATAAAATTAGAATTAATTATTTTTTAAGTACTTGAGTTTATTCAAGTAATTGTGACAACCCTAATCACCATGCAGTCGGAAGCAGGTCACAGGAAGTCCTCACTGAGATACTATACAGCACAGTCAGTTCCATCTGCATATTTCATCAGTGCATGTGTTTCAACAAGATAATTCAAGAAAAAACCTAATGAAGTGCATCAGCTTGAGAAACATTTACCTGGACAAAGACTGAGAGCAAACTTGGTCTGGAAGTCGCAGGCATCGCTGTCCAGGTAGTCATCAGATATGACTACTACCATCCTCTTACATCTAAAGAACACCACATCAAGATTTCTCAACAACTTGCAGCACTCGCATATTTCGCAACACATACGTTTATGCTAAGTCATCTATTCACAAAAGCTGCCACCAGCAAAAAGAGACCTGATATTAATCATCTGACCTAATTTCTTAAACTTGCCTTTTCTCAATGAGCTCGCTGGTGATGGTCCACACGCACGTGCCAGGAAGCACATCCCGGTCGAACACACACAGCTTCAGGTTGTACTCTGTCTGCTCCAGCTGTCTGATCATCTCATGCACAAACTGGAAGTCACTCTGGCAGTAACAAATAAAGGCATCAAACATCTCCGGCATGTGACCTGTAGACAAAACATACACGATTAAGCAAACATCAAAAAAGTGAACCGAAATAATCATAATTACATTATGATATATCGTCGCTATTATGTCAAAAGCTCATATGTCCAAAATGGAAACTTTACAGGAAAAGGAACAAAACAATCTTAACTTTGAATGGAAGTTAATGGAACAAGGTTCTTTTACATCATAAATCATTCTGGAGTGTTTCTATTGGTCTATTTGTCATATTATGAGATTATGAGAGTGTAAAGATTAACACTTCAAAAAAAAAATAATGAATAAAAATGACAAGAATGCTGATAGCTTTTGTACCTTGTTATTATTTAGCACACCGTTTAGTGTTAATACATATACATGCCAGTACATAGCAGTAGATATTTGTAAATTTGCTACAGCTCGTCTTGCGTTCTACCCAACTCACGTAGTCGCTTTTGTATTATGTAATGCTGTGTTCAAGACCAAATGGGAACTGGGAAGTTTCTGATATCCAAATGGGAAAAATCTATTTGCAACTTGTAATTCCCTCTCAGAAAGTCCAAGTTTCTCTGCAACTATTCTATTTGTGCATGTCATTTAAACTAAAGGTAATACGAACCAAATAGCGCTTTAATTTGAATGTAAACACTTTTTAAGACTATTTTTTATGCACACAGCAGCCAAACAAACTCTTCTGCTTGCTGTAAAAACAGCTGACTGCTTTTAGGTGGATGCAGTAGATTCAGAGTTGGAAAAGCTCCCAGTGGTCACGAACGCAGCATAACATACTGGCCAAGCAACATGTTGTGAGTTTTGCTCCTAATCGTAGTGACCAGTGTCAACAGACGGAACCAAGAAACAAACCATCATTGACTGTGATGCCTCGGTCCTGGTGTCCACTATCCACCACTGGAACTTGAACAGGCTGCTCCAAATACTTCCTGCAATTCTCATCTACATAAGAACGGAAAATACCAGAATCAGTGTCATGTTTAGTGGTCATGCAAAGTGGCATGTCCTTGTGAAAACACACTTAAATACCACAACATAAATAACAAAAACCTGAACTGCCTCCTACAAAACCTTATACAGCATGTCAATAAGTGTTTTCGCACGTCAATAAGCTAGTAAGTGTTTGTCTTTTCAAATATAATATCCCTGTGGAGAACAGTCTTATACTAAACTATAATATTTATTAACTATAATAACTCAGTAGTAAATCTGGATGTACTAGAAGATTCTTATTGGAATCCTGTAGAAAATCCTGTAGTGTTAATATAGATTCTTTATAAAGGTTCACTGACAACATGGTCATTTGAATATACATGATTCTAATGTGTAAAGCAGTTGCGCATTAATAAAATATACACATCAACACAGACGCTGTCTTTCTGTTGATTTCTTCCGGTTATAACTGGGTTATATTTTGTTCATAAACGACTTGACATATTTCTATGGAGCCCCTAAAGTGACAAGGTGACAAGGTTTTTTTTAATGAGCGATGGCTACTAATTAATATATTGAGGATTCTCATAACTCGTGGCCTCAATTTAGTAATTAATGGCCTCAATATTGTTAATTGTGCCCTCAATATAATAATTTGTGATCTCAGTATAGGAAATTGTTGCCTCAATATGGTAAATTATGGCTTCAGTTTGGTGATTCATGGCTTTAATATAGTAATTTGTGACCTCAGTATAGTAAATTGTGGCCTCAATATAGTAATTTGTTGACTCAATATGATAAATTGCGACCTCAGTTATTCGAGGCCTAAATACAGTAATATGTGGCCTCAATAGAGTAATCCGTGTCCTCAATATATTAATTTGTGGCCACGCCTTATTAAAAATAATCACCATGTCACCTTAGGGGCTCCGTACATCACATATTTGTACTGTTTGTACTGTAACTTCAAAGCAGCGTTTTTCAGTGTGCAGGGAATAAGGAAGCGTTTATTTTACCTGCAACGACACGAAAGAGTGAAACTCACCTATAAGGCCTGTCAGGTCTGAAATAATGTCCTTCCTCTCAGCCTCTTCCAGAAAAGACAACAACTTCCCCACCGTGGCGCCTGGCTGAGTCTGCCACTCATCTAACAGCCTCTGCGTGGGGTTTTCTCTCTTCTCATAGTTCTTTATCTCCAGGTAAGTAAAGCCCATCTTTTCGGCGATGTCCGTCCAGTCAGAGGCCACTGTGTTTGTAGGGTTTAGGTAAAGTCCGAGCTTCTTTCTCACGCTGAAGTTCAGCGCTATGGCTGGAATCGCCTCGTAGTCAATCGCTGATGATGGAAGTTTTGATGATGCCATATTGGTGCTCAAAGAAAAGGTGTCACTCAACTAAAAACAGGATTAAAAAAAAACTTTTTCATTCACTTGTCCACAGTGGGAAGGCGCCAGTACCGCGTTACTCCATTAACTGCTCCTCATCTGAGTCTGTCCTCAGTAAACTCCGCACTCTGATTTAGGGGAGTTAACTAAACCTGACTTCGCGTTAGTTTATGAGTTCAGCTCCGAGAATGAGGAAACGTCAACTGACCGCGTCACTATGACGCAACGAGCAACTAGCCAATAGACGACAAGAGAATGTGATTTTTTTTCCGGATATTTTTCCACTCGTATTAACCCTTTCGCACAACTGAGTTTGGAATCACAAGTAAAAATTGTTCTGAAGTTGTGGAGTTTTATATAATGATATGTTAGACGCACATCTAACAGTACGTATTTTTTTTTTTTTATATATATATATATATCTCAGTATTTTAATATTCTTATTCATAATTAAATTTGGATTTTCTGTTGTTTTGTTCAAATCTGTCAGTACATGACTAAAAAGCATGGTTTTAATATGATAAATTAAGCCATAAAAACTCATTCGTAAGCCATATGGATCAGTTTGATAAAGTTCTTCAGATTTGAACACATGGACCTGAGGAAATGTAACTTTTCAGATATGGACTTGTAGGTAAACACATAATGCATGATGCATAATTTTGGGTCAGATGGTGTGATTTCTGCCCTTCTTCTTTGGTATTGTATTATAATTTTCTCATATATTATGCATGATTTAGCCGTCCTCCCTTGGATGAGTGGGATGCGGAGGACGGTAGGGTGGTTGGACTATTGGTTTCGATGTCGTTCATGAAAGTAATTCTTTCCATACAGTTGTCAGGTTTCTAATTGGTCTCCTTTGCTTATCGGAATTATGTATATTTTAGGCACCTGAGAAAACCAGAATTAAAAAACAAGCTATTTATCTGGACATTTATGAATACAGATAACTACAGTACAATTAGCGGTGATTTTATGTATGTCAGTGTGTTCATTTAACCATTTTCAGACTTCTTCTGGTGGCAGCCCAGTACTGTTTGTAGTTATCAATCAACATCTGGTTCATGTGTGTGTGTGTGTGTGTGTGTGTGAGTATATATTGGAGATAGAAATAGGATGACATGAATACATCATTGTGCTACAGACTTGGCTAACAGTACTCTGTTGTAGAATTGGCTAGTAGTTCATACCCCGGCTCTGGGATTGGCTGGTAGTATTCGGCCGAGGCGTTTCTAATCTTCAAACCACAAATCTCAGGAAGGATCGTGTTCCGTTAACACCAAATATGGGCAAACCACACTTCCGGAAGTACGCTGCTGAAAAATATAACGAAGTTTCACGGATTACAGCCAAAAAACAGAGTTTAATCGTTTTCTGGACACAAATGCGTCAATGCCAGGTGTAAGTGTAACTCACAGAATGGAAAATGGGCGAATGTAAAATGACTAAGAGATCATCTTTGATGAAACTGTTTAACACATTTAGTTCATTTGTAAGGAAAATATAAACCTATGGCAACCACTTATATGATATTAACCAATATAAAACGTGAGATTGTACTTCTTGTGCTTATACTCTTGTACTCTTTCCATGGTGCATGTAAAAGCTGCAGTCATTAACCGGGTTTCTCTTCTCCTTTCTGGTAACTGTAACCTTTAAATAGACAGCCACAACTCTCCACTTCCTATTTATGACACAAACGGGCCAAAAAAGTTTCTGCAATGTCAAGAGTCAGACCAGTGAGTGGTCTTTGTTATTTGCTCTCACTGACTGAACACTTCTCCTTCTAAACATTATTCTGTTAGAGAACACATGCATGTTTTACTGCACAGACGTGTGTACTTAAATGTAAGTTCATAATTCATGAGATCAATATTAAATGTAGGAGTTAATTAAATGTTATCAAAAAATTTAATGGCAGCAAAGCTGTAAAGAGTGAGATTTTCTGGTTTAAAGACTCAGAAAAACCCCTTCTGATGATGCATCTTGAAGGTGGGAGAACTTTAGAAAAACTATAACTGCTTTGGGGTGAAGTTTTGGGGGCTGTTTAGATTTTTTTTTTTCGTTAGCCAGTGAATGCAGGTGAACATTACTAAAGTCGAATATCCTGCAGCTGTATAACTGTTGTAACTGTCTTCAAATCATCATGGAGAGAATAGATTAACTTACTCCAACAACAGAAAGTCAGCTGAGGAGAACAAGCTAAAAGCTAAAGCTAGCAAGGTAGCTAACCTAGCTAGATATCCTACCTCAGTTTGCAGTCTTTTCCGTCTGAAACAGCAACAAACTTGTCTCTGGTGTCCATTTTGTGCTAAAGATGAAGTCACTGTTTTCTTTACAGGTTTGTTTGATGAATGAGTTAAGAGTTAGCTTGGTTGTATTTATTAACCCATAGGTTAGTGGCTAGGTTAGCAGTCAGGACTGGTTGACACCACAGGCATTCTCAATGTTTGTATGATGTATTTGTGAATGCAAGTTTTGTAGTACGTAAACACTAATATACAAAACATGAAAATGATATACAATCTACCTTCTAAAGGCCTTGATTAATGCTAAAGCTCCTTGCAAGTTTTTGTTTATGGAAAATAAATGACTTTTTGCTGAAGGAAATGTAAAATAGAAAATATTTATTCCAGATTATTCCATGATGAACACAAGTTTGTGCCACGAGTGCTTGTCTTTAAACTAGATGCCACCAGCATTAAGTTTTTTTTTTCCGAAAGCACCTGCTTTTTAGTGTATATGAACTGACGCATATTAAGAACAAACAGATGAAAATCTGAAACGATTTATGTACGTTTCTACATGTAAACAATGAAAGTGAAGCACCAGAAGAGCATGTAACATAATGGAGACTCCAGAGAGGATTTTGCTGAATTTTACTCCTGTGAACAGAATCATCAGTCATTTCCTCTTTAAAGATTCTTGCTCTTGGAGAAGTAAAAGTCGATGCCTCTGTCTCGGTGCTGCCGTGGTGTATGAGAGGACCCCTTCTTTCCTTTTGATGAACCTGCACCAGACTGAAAAAAAAGTAGTAGTTACAACATAGTTATATAGCTACACATTAGATTGATTAAGTAACTGAATACTTTGTAGTAGTTTCAGAACAATTCATAGTTGCTGCTGAATAATTCCCAATAGTCACTGCATAATTTATAGTAGTTACTAAATAATTTATAGGTGCTTCTGAAAAATATATTAGTAACTGAATAATTCATAGTAGTTACTGAATAATTTGTAGTAGTTGCTGAACATTTGATAGTGGTTACTGAAAACTGCATAGTAGTTACTGAATAATTCACAGTCGTCACTTAATAATTTTGTGTACTTACTGAGTATTTCATAGTCTATTCGTAGTAATTATGAATAATTTGTAGTTAAGTTGAATAATTCATAGTAGTTATTGAATAATTCATAGAACTTGCTGAATAATTTGTAGATATTACTAAATAATTTATAGTAGTTACTGAATAATTAATAGAAGTTACTGAACAATACAAATGCGTTCTTTCACAGCAACTGTTGAGGTTGGCCGAGCTTCATACAACAGAAAAATCACATTCAACCAACTGAGATATTGTAGAACACTCAGCTTTTGTTGAAATGTCTAAATTTATTGTGCATTATTACATTTGAATTATATAATTTTTTGTTTGAATGTGAAATGTCAGATAGATCAGGGTAGTGTTTATGTAATTAGGCTAACATTAGCATCATGGCAGTTTTGTTGTCATTTACAACCTGCCTAGTGTTGTTTAGCTACAACAACATAGTCCAGCTGAGTAGCGTAACATTTTAAACTGGAAACTCAATGTTAGCGATGGTAAACTTCAATTTTAATTTATTGGGTTGAACTGGCTGTTTAAAACCTTGTACTACCCAAAAGTTTCTGTGGGCAGGGCATAGGTAGGTCACTGTCTAGCAGTTACTGAATTAGTCTTGAGTTTAAAAACTGAATATTAAATGCAGTTAAGTGGCTAACAGTACATTAGGTTTAGGTTCAGTACACTGAAAAAGTTAGCATTTCAGCATATAAAACTATGATAAAGTCATGTAAAAATCCTGCATGAAACTTACTGGTTTCATGTTGATGTGGCGACTCCACTCAGATGCCTTGACGATAGGAGATGGATACGTCTTATCAAGAGCTACCTGTGCATGGGACAGCGAGGCACTGCTCAGGGCCCATGGGGTGTGAACGTCTCCACCCATGATGCCCTTCAGCTCTGGCACCCACTGCCTTACATAGTCTCCCTGCATAAACACACATCATTTACTAGCAGTCACATACATACATTTAGTGCAAAAAATATGCATTATGCATTCATGCAAATGTGGTCTGGATTTTGCGTACTTATACCTGTCAATGCATGTATTGTGACGCTCATATAATGTACTATTATGGCAGGTGGCACTCTTATCTACAGAAAATTACAATTTAATCATGTTCTGAAGAGGTGAATGTAGCGTTAGGAGTCATGCCCAAGGACTTATATTGGTGTAGCATAGTGTGCTTGTCCAGGCAAATCCCAGTCTGCCCATTAGAGTGTAGTGCTGATATCCACTGTGCTATACTAACTGTTTTAAAATTTCAAAACCTCCCAGTCTCTAAGCTGAAGTTTTAAAGTTTTAAATAAATGTTCTACACACACACACACACACACACACACACACACACACACACACACACACACACTGTGTAAGACTGCTGCACACATTTTTGGTTGCTGCTTTACATCTGGGTTTTTGTTTGTTTTTATTGTTTGTAGTATGTTTATGATTTGTTCTTGTTTTGAACTTTCCTTGCTGGCCTGAGAGTTGTTTCCATTGATTAAGAACTGACCGAGAGATCCTGCATCGTTGTAGTGGAGATTGGCTGGGACGCGAGCTAGGGGTTTCATGATGTGACAGCAGAGTGTGACTGGGCCGTAAGCCAGGCACTTTGCAAGGTGATAACAGAATTTGACTGGACCATGAGCCAGGGACTTCTCAGTGTGACAGCGGAGTTTGACTGGGCCACAAGTTGGGGACTTTGCAGTGTGACAGCAGAGTTTGACTGGGCAGCAAGCCAGGGTATTTGCAGTGAGACAGCAAAATCCGACTGGGTCACAAGCTGGGGACTTTGGAGAGCAACGGTGAAATTTGACTGGGCCACGAGCCAGAAACTTGGCTCTGTGACAGCAGAGTTTGACTGGATTGCAAGCCAAGAATCTACATCGAGTTTCTCTCCCTGCCAGCTGGGGAACTGTGTATGTATGTTTTGTTTGTTGTTTTTTGGAATTGTAAAGTGTTCTCAAGTTTGAGAATGGCACTGTATAAATTAAACATATTATTTTTTTATTATTATTATTATCAATATTACTACATGACATCCTTATTACAGAGGTAGATCTAATGCTTCCACCTGAAATGATAATGTTTAAATCCTCTGACATACAGTACTTAACATTATACTTCATCTATACTATAAAAAAAATTCACGCTGCTGAAAAATCATACACCACAGTAGCACCTTGCATCCTTTTTCAATGTGCACTTACATTACTATCGTAGTCCAATGCTTGTTTGATCATGTTGAACTTCCTGTTTTCTCTCGGGTCATTTCCTACTCCAGCGCTGTACAGCCAGTTGCCGTAGTTGCTGCACACATCATAGTCCACCTGCAGTTCAGAAGATAAGGTGCCTCACTGAATAAACACGACAGTGATAAAGCATGACCACAGTGAAAAAAGCAAGCTGCTTTGAAGATACATGATTCAAATGTGTCATGTGGTTGCACAGATAAGTGTCAGTGCAATTCTTATCAAAATGACAAAACTGAAAGCTTAGCAACTGTGTTGATCAGTGGTGAGCGATATGGCATAAACAGACACAGTGCACTAGAAGTGCCACACTTAAAAACTGTGATCAAAAAATAACACCGCTGCACTAAATGGTATTAAACTGAACAAGATATGCTCTCTTTGTAATGAAATAGGCACTTTAGGTAGTGACAACATCCCTGAAAAGCATATTGTGATGTAATTTACCAAGACTGCAATATAAAATATAATATCATCATACTGTCTACACATAATGCTGATGTAACAGATTCATCTGCAACCACTTGACACATCTAAACCATGTGTCTTCAAAGCACAATTTCTTTTAATGCAGCTTTAACTTCATCATGAAATGAGTGTTTCTCACCAGCAGATACTCAAACCACTCAGCTCCGAGCCTCCAGTCCAGGCCCAGGTCTTTGGTGAGGAAACTGGCAACGTTCTGGCGCCCCCTGTTGGACATGAACCCGGTCAGAAAGAGCTCCCTCATGTTAGCGTCCACGAAGGGCACCCCTGTCCTGCCCTCTGGAGAAAATATAGGGCAGATTTTTTGGACTTTTGCACTGGAAGACAAGCACTGCTTTTAATTTACTTTATTCACATATGTATGCCGGTTCCACACTAATTAAGCAATATGAGTGCATTATTATCGCAAATACCATCACAGCTGGTGGCACAGGTGTGACGTCAGTTGTGATAACACGATTTTAAAAAAGATTTTTGAGAATTTCGAGATTGAGAAAAAAGTAAAGCAAAGAAGCCCCAGACATTATTGAAAATATATTTCTATATATATTTCTTTAGTAATGGCAGTGTATCTTTACAATCTGCTGCCAAAAAGTAGTTCCAGCAACTTATAATAAAGCAATGAAATAGTGATTAGAATCCATGATAAGAATTATCATCAAAAGGAAATAAAATGAATCACTATAATTGTGCTAATGTATTTTACTCCTGCAATGTATACATCATCGCTGTCCAGTGAAAAACAAATGTCTCAAAAACGTTAATTTTATTGTAAGTTAATTTAATGTCCATGCAATTTTGGAGCATTTCTATTGGTCTATTCATCATGAAATTTTCACACACTGTAAAGCACAGCTGCTGTGTTCAAACTAAATAGTAAAATAAAAATCTAAAAAACAGAAATGCTTGTTTTTTTTGGATAGCAACTATATGCAGTGCATATATTCATGCCAATGTGTATTTATTCATTCATATTTGTGCAACCAATATACATTCTTGATTTAAATCTAAGTAAGTCTGATTTTTTTCCCCAATATGCATATGCATTCATTAGTTTACTGTAGTGGCAGAAAACATTTTATGCAAATTTATCACGTTACCTTTCCACGCATTGAAGAGCTCCATGTCTGTCTTCCAGGGCACATGCTTATCTTGAAGGCCTTAGAGTTAAAGCCAAAATATACAACTTGTAATATCATAGTAATTACTACAAGAAACAGGAATATTATGTTAGACAAGAATTTTTTGATGCAATCACTGCAAAAAGTATATCATATTGTCTCATAGAGATGTAACAAAAATCCATATTTTTAGGCTACAAAATCACAACCTCTAGAATTTATAAGACAACAGCCCAATCATTGTACTATGAATGTATTTAGAGCAAAATATGACAAACAAGACCATTAAAAGAGATGCAGGGTGAATAAGCACTATGTACAGCGATGAGGAGTGTACATTCCAATATACTGTTTTAAATGTTTTTTTTTTTTGATACAGTATTGAAGCTGTTACATCCTTTTTGTTATACTGTTAGGCAATCTTGAATCAATTACAGTTCATTTTTCATTATACTGAAAGCAACATTTTGGTCAAAGAAAGGAAGTTTACACATTGCACTGACCGTTCAGATGAAATATTCGGTCTCCATATTTCAAAGCCACAAATCGGAAATAATCTCTCCACAGCAGTTCAAATATCACCCTGAAACAATCATAAAAATGTTGTGTCGTGCTGTAACTCGAGAGATTTTACAAGATTCTACTCAACATCTATTCATTTATTCAGTGGGGAAATACTATATTAAACAACAGAGTATTTTTCTGTATTTCTTCCAAAGCATACTCAATATGGCAGTGCTTGTTAAATGACTGTTTTTCATTTTTTGGATCATCATACTTCTCCTATGTATCTCCACATCACTCACCAGTACGTGCTCTGATTGGCGGTCCTCTCAGCCTCGTATCTCTTGATCTGCTCATAAATGTACCTCGGAGATATGCAACCCAGAGCAAGCCTGCAGCAGAACAGTTGAAAGTAGCATTTTACAGCCTTTTTATTTAGAAAAAGTAAAATGTCTGACTACACGCAGTGGTTACATTTAATCAAGCCAGTTTTTCTCACCAAGGCGCAAACTTTGTTGAATAGTCGACTCCGATTAAGCCATTTCGGGTCTCTTTATAAGCAGCAACAGCATTCTGAGTCAAAACAGGAAGAGAGGGTCATAAACACACTCTTTACTACATGATCATAATCAAAGCCTTTCAGAGAAAGAAAACAAAGTATATAAGACTTACTGTTTCCCAGAAGTAATGTTTTAGCCGAGCAAGTGCCTCACTCTCTCCACCTCTACACGGAAAAGCAGAACGAGTGTCGTCCAGTGGCTCTGTAACAGAATTTATCTACAGTCATCAACTGAAACTTCTCAAGGCGATTCACATGTTGCTAAAGTTCCCTAGTCAGCTTTATGGTGTTAAAGTAAAGCGCTATTAAAGGTATATATGTTTTCTCTGAAGAGGTTGTATAATGTAATCTGTTGGGATTTAACTGGCTTACCCCAAATTCCCACGGATAGTTGGGACTGAAAGGTCACAGCCCAGATGTTCACATTATTGTTATGTTACAGGACTTAATGACAACAATAACATGCTGCCATATGGCCGTGTCTATTAGCAGTTTTTTTTATTTCATTAAAGTGAGATGGACTAAAAAAAGATCTGCTGTTACTGAGGGAGTTCAAGGTTTAGCCAGTTACACAAGACCACTCACTCCACAATTATTACTGTCAGACTGTAAAACTACACACTGGAGATTCATACTGGATTAAGACCACTCCACAGTTATTACTGTCAGACTGTAAAACTACACACACTGCAGGTTCATACTGGATTATAATCAGTCCACAATTGATGCTGTCTGTAAACTGTAGACTGTAAATACTACAGATTCATACTGGATTAAAATCACAGATCTTACTGCTAACCACTTTAATTACAGGACCTCCCTGGGTAAAATAATCCAGCTCCAATAGGGCTAAAATCACTAAGGGTGTAATGATTTCAACAGAGTATCCATTCAAATTGGTGAACAATCAATTCAAAATGGTGAAGTAAAATTCTAAACTGTATCACTGATACACCTTTAGTGGGGCTTATGTTCTGTAGGAACCTACACTAAAACAATTGTTTTTTTCTGAAATCGCTTAGCAATTCTAAAGGTTGTGATTTTTGGGGTTTATTTTGTCAGTGGGTGATACAGTGCGGTTGCAAAGGTCTACTGGAGAACGTTTATTTATATGGGCTTAAGCACTCTTCATGTAAATAAGCAGAGCTCTACAGAATTAAGACATTTTAACACACAGTATCAAAAACTGAATCTTGACCTCAGAATCCAAAATACTATCAAGTCTAAATATGTATGTATTGTTACACTTCTAAAAATCACCTGTCTGTTCCAGGTCATCAAACGTAGGAATTGGGCCTTCCTCGAGGCCCAGAGGAAGAGGCCTAATGTGTTCTGCTGAAGGAAGGACAGGCCTCACTCTGCTCTGGGCCTCCACTGCCTTCCTGAACGCAGTGTAGACATCAGGCAGTCTGGCAGAGACAAAGAGAGAACAGAAAGACGTCATGTAGAAGGTAACAACCGAATGAGGCTTGTTCTGTTACTGCCAACAACCTTTACGTCTTAATGTAGGTTTGGGTGCAAGACATGACATCAGTACTGTGACAAATTTAAATGCAACAAGCACGAGGAAGAGACACTGAGAGGAACCATAACTCAAAAGGGGAAGCCACACTCCTGGGAGGCACCATATAGTGGAATTAAAATCATGATGACAGAGGAAGATGAAGAGGAAACTGTAAATTTTTTTATGACAGTACATCATAAAAATACTATTCACTGTAACTCTGTACATTTTTCCACATGATACAGGAATTCCTCATAACTGTATATATGGTTAGTCATGGTCACATTTTTAATGATGCATTTTAAATGGCATACTCCTTAAAGAAAATGTCCAATAAACAAGGTACAGTTCCATGCAATATTGGTTGAATTACATGTTATGTTGATTTTCTAAGTGAAAGTTAACCCATCCTCTACAGGATGTTTATATGCAACATGTTAAAGCAAATAAACAGAAATTGTCCACTAAAATTAGCAGAAAATGCCATATTTATAGCATGCTCTCTGTAGAGGATGTGTTAACTTATTAAAATCAACAAAACCTTTGTCTGGGGATGTTCAAACTAGTGGTCAGTATTTAGCATTTTGCCAATCACTGGAAAAGGGGCTTTTTAACTATGAGCATTCTTGCCAATAAAAAGCTTAAATTTGAGTTATACACATCTGCAATGTGATGGCTGACCGAAACACGTCTGGCTCTGTGTCCTGCCCAAAGCCTTACTGGATTGATCAGAATAAGTACGACATGTCAAGTACAACTAATCAAAACTTCAGTATCCCATCTCAATGCCCTGCCCACAGCATTATGAATTGGTTGAAATCTGGACCTCATGTCGAGTGAAACCAATCAAAAGCTCTTTTCTCTCTGTTTGTGAGGGATTTGGCTACAGAGCTTGCATGTAAAAAAAGAAAACAAAAAAAATAAAAATAAAAAAATAACTGAGCTGCGCGTGTATCAAGTTTCTCTGTCTTAGTTTCTTAGTCTGTTTTGGTGTGTATATATATATATATATGTATATACAGCCTGCATGTTTGCTTTATAGGAAATTTTCAGGCTATAAGCCGTCTATAATATTCAGTGTCATCGGCCCAGAAAAACACGTATCAGTTGACTCCTAGTTCAAACTTTTGCATACAACTGTATTTGTCAGAGTTTAGTGGGGAACTAGTCCAGTGGCTTTCCTTAAAACACATTTTATTTTGTTTTGTTTTTCATTTACAAAGTAAGATATAGCACAAAAAGTACCTTCTTTATGGTTGGTATAAAAACAACACAGCAAAATCCACAACTGCACTGCTAATGTATGCATTACTCTCCAAATATCATACTGTTACTGTCATCTTACGGTAAGACCTGATAAAGAAACAAACACATGTAATCTTATAACAAGCCTGGCTCTTCTGCTTATTTGAATGCTGTGGAAAGTGATGTATTCCTAAACATCATCATTTACCACTTTACTCCCATCAAGCTGGAAGAACACCAGGAACCGTAACACTGCCAGAACACTAACTATCAGGCTAATACAGGAGTGCCCAATCCTGGTCCTGGAGATCTACCTTGCAGAGTTTAGCTCCACCCCTTGTCTGTGACACCTGATCCAGGTAATGAAGGCTTTCAGGGGCATCTGAATAATAGAGCCAGGTGTGCTGGATCTGTCTTCAGGATGGTAGATCTCCAGGACCAGGATTGGGCACCCCTGGGCTAATTGGTACACAACAATTTTATGATTTTTTTTTAGGGAATATGTTAATATTTTGTCATATTTCACACAATAAGCCAAACAGATGCAGTTCTACGGAACAATGTGGGAATTTCTTACAAATACATTTTTTTGTAAACACACACATTCAAAAAACAATAATAAAAAAGAAAAAACTGGATATTCTAAAATGTAAACAAAGTATATACAGTAATTAACCTGCATGCAATGATTAACCCCTTACCCTCCAATGTGGCAGAAAGGGAGGTCATCTCTGTGGTACAGTGTGGACCCCCAGAAAGTTTGAACTTTGACCTTATTTTGGGAACACACATGCTTCACCTTCTTCTCCACCCTCTTTTCTTCTGATGTGACCTTCAGCATGACAGCAAGAAATACATTAGATAGTGGCTCCTCATCAATGACCAATACTACAGTGTTTATCCAGCATACAGGGCCAACAGCATCAGAACAGCTTTTCAGTGAGACTTAATGATGGCTTTGCAGTAGCACAGTAAACTGCAGTACAGAATAGTTTAGTAAAAGCTGAAGGTCATCTCACTTCTTCATGAAACGCCACAGCACTGACTGAACCCAACTGCTTGATCAAATCACCCACAACTTCTTCAGGCTTTCCACGTCTGACTATAAGATTACTGCACACAAAAGCACATGAAACAAACAATTCACACTAAAACATAACATCATGATACTTGAAGACATTTTCACAACACATATGTATCATGATATTTAGGTTACGAACCAGTTTGAGAGAAGGCACAAGCAAAACATCAATGCCACTTTTAAAAAAGGCTGAAAAACTATGAATACAATGAGAGCAATTGGCCTCATTCACCAATATCTTCTTAAGTTTTTTCTTAAGTTTGTTCTTTGAGAAAGGTCCTAGGAGAAAGTCTATGTCAGATTCATGACATGTTCTTAAAGCACAGAATTGTTCACACCTTTGTGCTCTTGAGTGTGTGTAGATTCTGTTCATACCTAAGAGCAAATCCCAAAAAGAAAACACTGGTAAATGTCAGAATCTTTGTGAAAACTGCGTATGTTGGTTTAAAGAAACTTTTTAAATTTTCTTTTTAAGAATGGTTGGTGAATGAGGCCCAATGTATTTATTTATTTAGTGCTTGCAAAAATAAAGAATTTAACATGGAAAAAAAAAATCAAACAATTGCTGAAAAAGAAATAATAAAGTAAAATACATACAAAGCAGCGTGTTACTGGGCAGTTACTATACAGTCGTATTCAAAAGTTTAACCACTCCCATCAAATTGCATGTTTTGTTGATTTTCTAAGTGAAAATAGGTTATCGCAACCTCTACAGGGAACAAACTTAAAATGACATTTTTCTGCACTTTTTCTACTTAGTTGCTGAGTTTTACATATTTGGAAAAAATACAAGTATAAAATGCACCATAACTGTCGCACAGGTCACATTTCAAGTTGTTGTCCCCAATATGTTAAATTCAGCAAAAAACAGTACTTATGCAGTAAAAAGTGCAGAACTGTGTTTTCTGTAGATGATGTGGTAACTTACTTCCACTTAGAAAATCAACAAAACATGTCATTTGACCAGGGGCACCCAAACTTTGCCTATGCCTGTACACTGGCTGTTGTTGTTTACAGAAACTATAATTGTTTTTTTATGATCCTTGCTGTTGTTCATTGTTCTAGAGGCGCTGACCATACCCATCATGTAATCAGAAAAGAATACTGTGAAGTAATTTATCACTATTATGACAGGATATTGACATGTTGTCCACCTCTAACTTAACTGATACGCTATTTATTAAAAGCACCAATAATAAGAGAACCAGAAAAGCTGCAAATGAGTGATTTATAACGGTGTTTGTCCAGTAGAGTGCTGATAGATAGACATTGTGTCTACCTGCCCTTCTTCTTCAGTGTGGCTCTCAGGTCCTTCACGCTGTCCAGGAGGAGGCGTAGCCGGAATGGGCCGGTTTTGGGGAAGTTAAAATGATGGGTGCCCAAATAATGACGTGGGTCGAAGCAGTAGAGAGGAACTATATGGTCAGCATTCCTCTGAGCCCAGTGGAAGACCTGTGGAAATGGAGGAAAATATGGATTTAAACCAGTTTCTGAACCCATTTAGAATCAGAAACCGGGACTCATTGGTCAAACACTACAACATATTAACAGGACATACAGTACTGCTATCTGGGCAATAGATATTTATTTTGTTTGAGGATATTCTACCTTTAGAATAAATACAAATAAACAAATAAACGATACATTGTGATTTCATATGTGTGAACGTGTTGGCTTAACTATTTCCAAAGCTCTTTTCGAGGAAGCCCAGTATTTACAGTTACCTTTCAATGCCTAGTTATCTGATCAAGAGCCCATTTCATGGTAAACCTAAATCTCGCTATTTTGAAATAAGAGTTTATGTAAGTAAGATGCAAACATGTAAACCGCAAAACAGCCTGTTTTGAATGTATCATTTCTGTGATGTGATGAGAACCAATTCACATACTTCACATACATATGCTTATTCAGCCTATGGCAGTTTAGCTCTGCCCATTCACACTGACATTAAAAGGTGTGTTTCAGCTCTTGAATGAGAGACAATATAGTGAAGCCAATCAGAACAGAGTTCATTTACATACATCAGTCTTAAAGAGGCAGAAACAAAAACAGCCTGTTTAATTGTAAGAGTTAAAGAGCAGATGGAAATAGTGATGTAAAAATGAATTATGAATTTTTGGTGCATAAAACTACACAAATGTTCTGTGAAAAAATAAAATACAAGAACACTGTAGGAAATAGGCCCTTTCAATTAAATCTAATGGACTTTAACAAATCCATGCAGGTGCAGCAAGAAGTCAGGAACCAAACCTGTATCCTTCTAACCAACATACTAAAAACTTTCTTAAAAACAGAATTTTCTCACCATGTTTCACTGTGTTTACAGCAAAACACACTTACTGCCCAGATAAATAAGATTAAGTTATTTACAAGGATGCCTAAGCCTTTGGACTGTACTGCACTACTAGCAATATTTTTTTCCAAATAGGCCATTTGAGACATAACACTCACTTTAAGTGTCAGGAAAAAAACTTTCACGTTCACTTAGAAAAGCAACTAAATGTGTAATTTGACCAGGGGTGTGCAAACCTCTGCATATAACAGTATAATTAAATCTGTATAGTTCTTTCGGAAACAAATGAGCACATAAGCCCCTCCCACTGTAACACGACAGCCAATGAGAGTCTTTCAAAGGATCTCGGTCTCCGTGTTTCATAAACTGGAAACAGAAAAAAGGATTTCGGTTTTTGCCCGGCTAACTGAGAAACCCTGCGCTGTGACACAGCTCCAGGTCGAAGCAGTGTAAACTATCAGATTTACAGCTTATCTGGAGAAATAACAGGTCTGCTGTGAAAATTCTGATGCAGGAACCAGGCAGGACTGACTCAGCTCCGGTTAAACACGGCAGCTTAAGAGACAGAAGAGCTCTGAGCTGTAAAACCGTCTGCAGTCTAAAGCTGAGAGGCGTTTCTATGCTAACTCCAGTATTTACCTCGTTGTCGTGAAGGCGCAGGTCATTTCTGAGTAAACACACGACGGTCCGGGACGCTGCCATTTTGAGAGGAGAGCACCGCCTGCTAACCTGTAAAAGCAGCTCGGCTGAGTTTCACACAGCAGCGCTCTCATAACACGGCGCGTTCACGTGTGACACACTGAACCAGCGGGGCGCGCTCACGTGTTCCAGCACGAGGAGGCGTGAAGTTACCTAAAAGAAGCAAAAGGCTTTTCTGCTGTTTTAAGAAGGATTTTTGTACCTTAGTTTCCATGAACTTCCATAACCGTAATCAGGTAAAAAGAGAAGAAAAAAAGCACTCAACTCTTTGCTTTCCATCTACAAAAGCACAGAAAATGAATAAAATAAACAAAAATGAATAATGTACAGAGTTAGGATGTAGAAGAATACAAGGACTGGGAAAACGCATTCAAAATACAGAAAGTATCTGTTCAGTCGAAGTTATGTTTTGTGAAGGCAGAATTCAGAATACAGTTACTTTTTACATTATTATTGAGGAGAATACTTTTCCATTTAAAAAAATCTTTAAAAGAAACATTGGTTTATTAACTATTTTGCAGGGAGCCCTGCTGGTAACATCCCATATAAATAAAAATAATGTGTGGCCACGACTTAGTAAGGCATGGAAACGAGATAATTAAGTCGTGGCCACAACTTAGACGTGGGAACGAGATCATGCCTTATTAAGCTGTGGTCAAGGCTTAATTATCTCGTTCCCACACCTTACTAAGTCGTGGCAATGCATTATATTAATTTATATGGGATGTCACCAGCAGAGCTCCGTAATTTTGAAATCATAGCATAAAAAATGGCTTCTTTAGCCACCGAAGTTCCTGCTAAAGCCTGAGTAGACTGATAAATCAACATTATGAGCCAATTATTATTCTCAGCTTTACTAAACTCTTCTCCTCAGGAGCTGACATGATACATGGCATTAACTGAAAATGACACAGCTGCCCAGTTCGTGGTCAAATTTGCAAGATTTTGTTATTGGGATATGGTGAATTGCAGGATTGTGGAAGCAGTAGTGGACTGAAGCAGGTGATGAGAGCCAAAATTATATGGAGAATTTTATAACTTCATTTAAATAACTGACCTTTTCATGAAACAGGTGAACAGAACAATTATATCAAGAAAACTGCCAACCAGTAACAGTGTGGAACAGTGTGAATTAAATTAAAAATTACAACAGCAAATTTTTCATGTACCTTGTCAATATTCTGAATGTATTCTGAATATGTTACTTTTGCATTGTATTGTGTATTGTAATGGAATACAATGCTGAGTACAGCGTATTCGGTATTTAGCCATCAGTACTATTTCAAAGTATTCTGCCCAACCCTGATTATGAAATGGCAGTTTCTGAACAATATGATAGTTTCCAGCTTCAGAACTTGTAGAGGTTAATGGACGGCTGAACCGTCTGAATGTTTAAAATTAATGAAATGAAAACAACAGGTTGACATGACTTTGCATAAATTTTTCGGATGCCAATGACAGTTTACAAACAGTAGTATGCAAAAGTTTGAACACCCCTGTCAAATGATGTGTTTTGTTAAAAATTAAGTTAACTCATTCTCTGCATGGGACAAACCTTTAGTGCATTTCTATTTTTCTATTTTTTTTTTTTTGCTGGGTTTAACATATTTTTTTCAAAAGTCAGGGGCACCCAAACATGTGCATATGGCTGTACATTCAAATCAAAATTATGTCTGCTCTTCTAGTCCATAGGGATGGCTGATACTGCAGTAGAAGTCCAATAGTCCAATAACAATACCAGTACAGATACTTTTGAAAGTCGTGTGCACACAAAAAGAAGAAATTCCACTGAGGCATGGGCTCTGCAAGACCTCTGAATGTTCCCTGTAGTATCTGGAACCAAGATGTTAGGAGCAGTTCCTTTAAGTCCTCTGAGTTGTGAGGTGGAGCCACCGTGGATCAGACTTTTTTGTCCAGCTTGATCGGATTGAGATCTTGGGAAATTGGAACACTTTGAACTTTGTCATGTTCCTAAAACCATTCCCGAACAATGTGTGGCAAGGAGCATTATCCTGCTGAAAGAGGCCACTGCCATCTGGGAATACCGTTGCCAGGAAGGGGCGTACATGGTCAGCAATGACATTTAGGTGGGTGGCATATGTCAAATTGATGTCTACATGAATGGCTGGACCCAAGGTTTCCCAACAAAACATCACCCAGGGCTTCACAGTCCCTCCACCGGCTTGTTTTCTTCCTACAGTGCATCCTGGTACCATCACTTTCCCAGGTAAACCGTACACGTGTACCAGGCTGCCCACGAGACGTTAAAGAAAATCGGACTCATTGGACTTCTTCCAATGCTTCAAGGCGTTTTTGACGATGGACACCATGGGTACCTTAAGTGCAATGCACTGTATATTAGACATTCCCCATGTAAACATCATTAATGATTTATGTGACTTGTGCCACAGTAGCCCTTTTGTTGGTCCAAACAGGAAAGTGTTTGTTGGCCTTATGCATTGATGAGCCTTGACTGCACAACACCCTTTTGCTAATTCAGAGTTTGTCCCTCCTTGGATCGCTGTTGGTAGGTACTCACCACTGCTGACCGGGAGAGCAACTCAAGCCTTGCTGTTTTGGAGATGCTTCAGCCCAGTCGTCTGACCATAACAATCTGGCCCTCATCAAAGTTGCTCAGGTCCTCACACCTGTCTGTTTCTACTCCACCCAACAGTCAACTACAAGAAGCGACTCTTCCCTTACTGTCTAATATATCCCAGACCTTGACATGCACTGTTGTTTTGAGATAATCACCATTATTTGCTTCATCTGTGAGTGGTTATACTGTTTTCGCTCATAGGTGGATACCTGCATAATCTGTCTATGTTGCTATAACATTTATTTGCTACAATCTTTTTTCCCCACCTTTTCCAGCATATATTTTAGCAAATACACCTACACATCAGTTTAATTAAAACAAGTATATTCAAAATACTGTTTAAAGAATATCAATAATTTTATGTAAGAATCCATTCTGAAAAGGATTCTCAAATCAGCGTCTGGAGCGCTGTTCCTTATCAATACTGATCTACCCATCCCTACTAGACTACCCAGCTACAATAACCAGCATAGACCAGCATGTATGGTGTTTTGGATGCCGGTATAATGGTCACCCAGCAGCTAAACCAGCAACAGACCAGCATAAACCAGCTCAGACAGCATGTAATTCATGCTGGTCTGTGCTGTTTTTTCAGCAGGATATAAGCATTAACTTGTGATAAGAACAGTAACAGGTCTTAGACTTAATCGAGTACGCTCTGATCAATACTTTCAGATTTAAAGCACAGACTTCCACAGATGCGATTTTCCACATTTAATTTATTTATTCAAATGTACAAAATCACTTTCAGAATAAATGTGTTTAGGCTTTGTCATCAAGGCAATAAAGAATTTTCCATTCTTAGCCTCTATCAAAAACCACTGAGGCCTATTTCATCATTTACTCTCAGTTAAGTTCTAAAATCCAGCTCTACAATTTTGGTAATATTGTAACTAAGGTATTCTGAATATAATAAAACATCTCATAAAAAGTGCAGTACAATGTCTACAGTGCTTAAAGAAAGTTTAGACACCCCTTTAAAATGTAAAATTGTTTTTTTCCCCTTTTTACATAGTGTAATATGCAACCATGTGCTCCACGTCCCAGCCTAATCACAAGGACTGTGATAATTCAAGTCAATTCATTCACTTTGAACTGGACTTATTGGAGGTTTTGTCTACTTGTTACTGCGGGGAATGGTCAGAATTGTACACTCCTATTGACTGTTGTGACACACAACATTTGGCACCTCTGCTCGATAATCTTCCTTGTATTGCCATCTAGTTCAGAAGGCCAGCCTTCTCTGGATGTATCTATTCCTTTCACTTCTTCATAACTTTACTGCTTTATTTTGGAGAAAGCTCCTTGTTTGGTCTGCAGAGTAATGAATTCTGTACCAGACAGAATCATCACAGCTAAACACAGAGACTGATTATTTTAATGAGTCATTCAGAACTGGTTAGACCTGAGCTCTGACTATAATGTGTGTATAGGCCTACACATTTACTCAAGGTCATCTGGTGACGTTTTCATTAAATTGAAAGGAATTATCCAGTGTTTTTCAATCTAATCTATATCTGTCGTATCTGTAGTATTTCCACAGAGAGCAACGGAAAATCTGCTGACGTAAAACTCGCATGTAATAGGAGTCATTTGGGCAGTTGCTGAATTCCGACGGCAAACATTTATGCTGGCTTCTATCAAAGGCTTCAGAGGAAAGTCTGTCCGCTTGGCGGCCATCTTGGCAGCGACTGTAGGCGTTTCCTTTTATATGGGACCGGCTCCCATATCTTTGAATGGGGAGATACAAACCGAACTGAAAGCCACATTAATGTTTCAAAAACGTATTTGAAATCATGGGTAAAGTCGGACAAAATAAACAGTTTGTACTGTTCGGCTCAAATAACGCAAGAAAACGTATTTTTCAGGTTCTTGTTCCAAAACAAAGCAGTTTTTCCCGCTTGTGGCTTGACTAGCAAACTGATTGGCTGACCAAAGGGCGGGGCCTCTCCCGTAAACAGACGCCATGTTACTAGCGTTACTAACTTTCCCGTTCATTTACAAACCTACTAAGTCTGCCTTCTTCATGTCTCTGCTTCAAATACAAGTGAGTTTGAGTCAACAGATTTTCTGTTCTTTTCTAAATACAGGGAAATGCTTCAAAATGATTGTCCGCGGTAATAGGCCGTATCCTACACATACAGTGCAGATAGAGACTGGGTTGAAAAATGCTGGAATATTCCTTCAAAGCTAATCTCCAAACTGCATAAACGTATGTAACGTTACGTTTCATTACAATGTTAGCAGTTGGCATGTACACTGTAAAGGAAACACAGGCTATTTAAATGTCCGTTTTATGCTGTAATACCACACAATGTTAAAGGGTGCCAAGACTTTCTATAAACCCTGTATTTACAATACAATCGTTTTTTCTTGTTAAATCACCTTAGCAAGTCTATACATTAAAATACAGCATCATTCATGGCCTCCACTGATGAATGGATTGGAGATCCAACTTGATGAGGACAACTGAATGTACATTCCAACACTTAAATGCTTAAAAAAATCTAATTTCACTGAAAAAACAAAGACATATCAGAGAAGGCACTAATTGTGGCAATCTTTGCGGCTGACATTGAGCGTCCCACTTACAGATATTGCTTTGCAATAAACTGGAGGACATTTACCCAGTCATGCTTATTGTGTTTCCATATAGAAAAATGATCACAGTAACATATGTACTCATTTGTAATAGCAAGGAAACAAGGACAAATGGGAATCTTTGCTATAAAAACTCCATATTAGACCATATTTTTCTAAACAGGAAAAACCTCAGGGCTTTACCTCTAGATATGACTGCTTATGCATCAATAGAACAGTTATGAAGTACATACATTTGCATTAAAAAGCACTTTCTCTTTGGTTGGTGTGGACAATGTATTTCTATATAAATGACTGAACTTAAAAGCAACGTCAACAAACCAGCCATTCGAGTCGATAGCCTATAAGACTATTGCTTGGATGCCGTAAGCAGCCATTTACAATAATACAAAAACTGGTCTTTTCTCCAAACATCTGGATAAAATGTTTATATATATATTTTTTTTATAAAAATAGCTTTTTGAAATCTCAGCTGATTATCCTGCATGTTGAAATTGTACGGATACATGTGTTCAAAAGTTGCCATGGAAACATGTGACTTAAATTTACAGTGACTTCACCGATATATGAGTGCCTTAAAACATTAATAACAACAAAAAAATTCTCTATAAAAACTTTATAGAAAAAAAAGGAGATTTAAGATTTTCATCCACAACCTTCATTAGCTGAGAGGACGTTGCAGTCTCAAAGAAATGCACACAAATTTCTCTGGATTACACATTCACCACTTTGGTGGTTGCACATGTGCTGGTCTGTGTCAATCTTATTTGGTTAGATTCTAACCATCAAACACAGTAATCTTAACAAAAATTACTCAACGGAGTATCTTACAGTATGGATGCGCTCCAGAAATGGCAGGCCATTGCTGGGTTTTCTAAAGGAACGGCACCGAATTCATTCTCAAGAAGTGGCACCACATTCAATGGTTTAGATCAGGGGGGGTTTTGGACATAATAAGACCACTATAAAAAAAAAAACACTTTTTCCGTTGGAAAGTATTCACCTACACACCTACCCTGTTCTGCCCCAAAAACAAACCCTTGTTCTGGATGTTTAACATTTGTGTAACTGCTCTTTAAAAGAGTGAGCTAGACTCCCCAACACTAAAGCCCAGCTCTAAACCATCACCTATTACTCTGTCCAGGGATTAGAAACTCTACAAAGAGTGAAAATGAAAAACGCTGGAGTGAAATAAACTTCGTGAAATGTGCGTTTGCACTGAAATAGTGATAACTGCCATGTGAATGAAATACATTGCCAAAACATTTTTTCCCACGTTACTTCTGGCTTCAGCTGGCTTCTAATCAAATAATGTACGCTTATTAGGCATGTGCTGATATAAAAACGGAATATCACAATAATTACCATATCTTTTATCAGGATTTCACATATTATTACAATATTGTGTTGGGGAATAACACTGCATGTATAAGGCAAGCATACCTATAGTGTTCTAAATGTTATTTTTTAATAGCAATCTTGATGTGATGGTTATACAATGTGGGATTTCTGTCTTTAAAAATCATGGAACTTTGCATAATTTTGCGTTATTAATTTTTAGAATTAATTTATGGATTAGACCAGGTTTCACCAATGACATGGTATTTCAATAGTCCATAATAACAACATCGTGTATGTTGGATATTAGGCACATGTCTAACACTTAATTAATTAAATGCAATGCATCACTTTTTCAGTGCAGTCAAGTCTTATAGATTTATGACTAGATTAATCATTTTCTTAGTAAACTTTACTGTTGCCCACTACCTGCTAGATTCCATTGGAGGTAAACTGAATTATGCTGCGTTCCAGTGCTCATTGGAACCAGATGGTTAATTAGTGAATGCGACTTGACTTCGTTCGCCTGCCGGTCAGAAGATACGCCCACAACATGGAAAATAAAGGCATGCAGCTCAACATGCTTTTCGTTTGCTACAGTAAAAATATATCAGTGATGTCTGCACGTCTTTCAGTTACAAGAACTAAAACACGTCAGGTGCAGTGGGGCCCAAAAGTATTCACAAAAGTCTAGTGAAAATGCTTCTATTTTGAAGCACATTTTGAACATTTTTCATTACAAATTATATTTTCAGCATAATGGTTTGAGTGAAAAGTAGAATCTTTTATATTTTAACATTTTAGAATTTCTTAGTATTTGGTCCATTTTTTTCTTTACAGACTTTGCTTTGCACTACGGCTGGCATGGACAAGTTTGTGCAAAAGCCTCCGATAAGCAGATCAAATCCACCTGAGTCGTCTGAACACTTTTATCTCTTTTAAGAGATAAGACTTAAAAAAGGTAAATGACCTTTCTGTACAAAGGCATTATCGTAATGTCACAATTTTGCTTTTTAATGGTGACCTAGAAATAGCGAAGAATTTTGCATATTTTTGTACAGTTTACTTTTATTAAATTATTTTTTTTAATTCTTAAATGTTCTATTGTTTATTTTCAGTCTTAAGGCAAATAAATCCCAAATTTTCAATGTTGTCTCACAGTTTTTTGACCTCACTAAATATTTTTCATACTCGCTCGTGAAAGGCCGTGTACGTCACATATGGTATAATCTAGAATCCCAGGTTTCCCACTTGGGAATGTGAATCTGTCAGCTGTTCATGTGCAAATTTGAAGTAGGAAAATTGGTATTTCCCAGTTTCCAACACCACTTAAACACAGCATAAATTCACTGCCCTAAAGCAAAGGATGTTACCCTGTCATCTAGGTCTTCATCGTACCTCACACTGCACTGCCTGGCTTCCTTATCATTAAACTCTAGCCATGTATTTTTTAGAATATTTGCAAAGTTTGCTCTTTTAGAATGTTAATAAGGTTTCTTTTATTCTGTTCCAGTTACCAACTGGAGAGGGAGCTTGGTGAAAGAAATACAGTTTCTATTCAGAACGAATCAAAACGAGAAATATTTCGTTTCTAATCCCTGATTGTATCAATTGCTGTGTAATTTCCAACAGTGAGAGATCCAACCCCTCACCAATTTTCTGTAAGAATTTGGGGCATGTAATGTAAACAAGCCTCCCACGACTGCAGTCTGATTCTGTGATGTGTTTGCAGACCACAGGCCTTCAGCAGCAGCCGAATTGCCAACGTGTAACATGGCATGCAAGGGGCTTGTGTGTATGGGCAGAGCAGTCTGAGATACGCAGCCCCATGCTGAGGGGCTAGTTTGTTCTGGGTGGGCTGGAGAGGTTTTGGCAGGTTCCCCTGGACCCTGGAAGGCAGAGTGGTGATTGTAAGTGGGTCAGTTTAACTGGCCCCAGCCCTTCTGGACCTCCGGCACTTTCAGAAGCTGCCCTGGACGAAAGGATGGCTGAGAAGCACCTCAGCGGTGGGCCGCCACTTCTCCTCTACAAACACCTGCCGCAGGAAGTCCCTGCAGGCATCCGACACGCCCTCCGGCAGGTTGGGCTTGGTGGGCTGGGTGGCGATTTTAAAAATAGCCGCCATGGCTTCATATTCAGCCCAAGGGGGCTTTTGCGTGAGCATCTCCACAACCGTGCAGGCCACGCTCCTGAGAGAGGAAAGATAGAGCTGTATTAATCTTCCTGGGTATAGAATGTTGGGCACATCTGATTGAATGTATGTATTTTTGGTTTTTTTTTTTCAAGTTTCATATTCTGAAACTTTGCCAAAATCCCCTTTAACTCATGAACATCTGCCCCCGGAGTAGATGGTGAGTACTTGTTTTTTACCAGACGTCAGCTTTCCGGCCGTATCCTTCTCCGTTGATGACTTCTGGGCTCATCCAGTAGGGGGTGCCAGTCACTGATTTTATGCCAGTGCCTGACATGCAGATGGTTTGAATACGCTTGCTGGCTCCGAAGTCTCCCAGCTTCACGTTTCCGGAGGAGTCCCTCAGTATGTTTGCGCCTGCAAGGAGACACATGGAGATCCAGTTACACTTGCCCAGACTCACATGTATGTCTGACCAACACGGCAACTGCACAAAATGATTAGTTGGGATATAAGCCGCGCGGCTTGAGACATGCCGGCCCCTTCCCACGCCTCCAGCCGGAATTATTTTTCCGTTGGAGAGGCCCCCGTACTGCAATGTTGCCTGTGAGATCTGCGCTTGTTTGAGCAGTGACTAATTCACACCAGCCACAAAATCTCCACACCCTGAAAGTCTCACTGAACTGTTAACAGAAACGGGGAGAGAGAAAGCGAGTGAGAGAGAGAGAAGAAAGGGAGAGAGAAAGAGAGAGAGGAAAGATAGCAGGAGAGAAGTGAAAGAGGATAAAGACTAAGATGAGTAAGAGGGAGAAAAGAAGTAAGCAAGGAGAAAGAAGGAGGGAGAGAGAGAAGAGAGAGGATTAATAGTGCAAGAGAGAAAGAAAAAGAGAAAGAGAGAGGGGGAGAGAGACAGAAGAGAAGAGAGAGAGAGAAACAGAGATATTCAGTTGATATTTCCAGAGAACTTCCAGTTACTTATTGGAATGTGAAAGGCTCACTCGCTCACATAAATCAATTAAAAAGGTCTGAGGTTTGTTTTGGCATGCGTGCTGCTCCGCTACAGCCATATCACACCATGAGCAATGAGCGCCTGTCGCACAACGTAATGGAAGCAATGTGAAGATTGTCTGGTCACGAAATTTGATTTATGAGACTGTTTAGCCAATTCACATAAAAAGTTGAAATGCTATGCATTCCTCTTTTCTGCTTCTTTTGGCTAAACCTAAGGGGAATACTGTTGTCTGATGCAAGAGAGAGCCAAACCAAAGATATTTCCCCAAATATCGAACACAAAGCAGCAAGATATTGCACAATGTATTTAGAATGTTATAAGGATAAGTTTCAGAGTTAAACACTATCATTTTGTGTCCATATATAAGTTAACTGGTGCGATTTTTATGTAAAAGAACCACTTTTTGGTTCCCAAAAGAACCTTTGAATAGATGGTTCTTCAAAAAATTTAACTGAAATCACTCAAGCCATGCTACGCCTACAAATGCATTTGCTTGTAGCCAGTGTTCCTCGGCTGGACAAGCTTTACAGAATGCTGCCAGAAATCCCATTCAACCCAATGTGAAATCGCAGCACACAACTCATTTCTCATTAACGCAACTAGATTATTACAATTAGAACATTAAAATGTTTATTTAGAGTATCCAGTTTAAAATGCTACACTAGCAAGATGGACGATCCATGAGAACGGAGTGAAATGGATGATAATTCAGGAAAATCATTTTGTTTGTCCTCCATGGTTTCAATTGCGTATTGCTATTATGGAAAAAAAAAAGATTTTTAACAAAGTTTGTCTAGTTGCTATGACAGAACACATTTGTGAGTGAAGCTTGGGTAGGTCAATTAAAATGTTTATTTTTTATGAACAGTTTTTGGACCTTTATTTTTTATGAATGTGCCTCATAGCTAATAAAAGGAACCAGTTTTAATTTTTCATGAGCGCTCAGCAGACATTACCTTTAATGTCACGGTGCACGATCATATTGCTGTGGAGGTAAAAGACGCCCTGCAGGATCTGCCTGGTGTATCTGCGGGTCACTTTTTCAGTCAGAGCGCCGTACGCCTTTAGCTGGTCTTTTATAGAGCCCTGGACAGAAATACAAATACATTAAGCATATACGCATGCCAGAGGACTGTCTATCAACAAGGGTGGAGAGGCAGGAAACTTTGAACTAGCAGCATGAGTGCAGAGTGGGGTTTATATATGGTATTAAAGGAACATTCCCCAAACCCCAATAAAATCTTGGTATAAAATACCTGAGTTAGTGGTGCTATGTGGTTGTGGGATATAGAGTCAAGTTAATAACCACAGAAGTGAATTAGACTAAATGGAAGTTTTAATACTTTAATAACCTAATCTACTGCATCTGTAGTCAGTTACTATGGACAATAATTTCCCTGTTCTTACAAAAGAACATTAAAAAAATACTGAAACAGAATAATAAAACCCATTGTATTCCATTATACATGTGTTCTGAGTCCACACCTTTTCTGTTCTTTTTTAAGTACTAGGAAAACGTGTCAAAATGCTACCACTGTTGTCCAAATTCAAACGTCAACCAACCCAAATGAAAAAAAAAAACAAACATATCTGGAATGCTAGTAAGAAAAAACTTAATGTCAGCAGTTAGAATGATGCAAGACTCTAAATATAAACTGCAACAGTAACTCTTCTATATCAGACATGCAAAGCAATGATAAGTCCAAAGCTTAAGCTCAGTGACTGCAGTTTGGCAGTTCAGAACATACAGCAACTGAAAGAAAGCACTGCAGTAAATGATCACTGCAAGACTAGCAAGGCAAAGACTGAGGGGATACGCTTTCTTCTAAATAAAATGTAAAGCAATTCCTATGTAGTTACTATGTTATTTTAGGTGGTTTCTAGCATATTGGTATGTGCTTGCTATGGTTTCCATTGTGGTTGCTAGGACGTTGCTATGGTTTCCCAGATTGTAGCTACGGTGTTGCTAGGTGGTTGCTAGGCAGTTGCTATAGTGCTCCCAGGTGGTAGTTATTGTGCTGCTAGATGGTTGCTATGGTGTTCCAGGTGATTGCTAGGCAATTGCTATGGTGTTCCAGTTGGTTCCTAGGCTCTTGCTATGGCAGGTAGTTGCTATGGTGTTGCCAGCTTTAATCAAAAAGCTGTATACAAGCACAGTCTGCTTATTATGAAAAATGTGAACCTACACGTGTCTTCTGAGTTTTTATATGTAATGCTGATAATGGTAAGATAGTAATAAATATGAAATTGGAAAAATATGTTTTGCCTTATGCATGTATCTCTCCATCATGAATGGATTTTTAAAAAATACAGTTTAGGCCAAAACCTCAAAAAACCTCAGGAAGTACATTTACAATCATTTCATGTAAAAGCTTTCTGTGAAGGAGCTTTTAAACGCATTAAACTCTTCAGATGTTTGGCTCCTATCCCCACCACTGAGTAACTGTTATTCGGTAAGTTTCCCTAGTTTAGGGCATTTTATGTCAGACCACTCTGTTTGAATTATGATCGAATGATGATTGAATTATAAAGAATTATTGAAAAAACAGTGGAATTCCCATTTAAATATATCCTCAGCTCTACTGTGTACAAACATACTTTACTCCAGCAAAAAAAGTGAGCCGTAGTGTAAATTAACAAAACCTACTGTTGCCACTGTGACAGTACTTAACTTCACCAGCAAATGGAATGTGCCAAGAAGCATCCTTCGTTTCTGTGTTTTTCACGCAGCTTCCATCTGTTTACCCAAATGAATCTGGAAGTGTTTTGAGGTATTGTCCAGACACAGAGCCTTTTCTGTTCCCAAAACACAGCTCCCCTGCGGGTTCCTCACACACACACACACTTGTGTGTGTGTTCTTCGACACTCTGACCCAAACGAGCTAACGCAGGCTGCATTTCCTCAGCTTTCCTGTTTTCATCTCATGTGGTGGAAACAATGTCTCCTCAAGGCCCCTGTCCAGAAACACCTGTGACGCATGCTCGGGTCCTGCAGTCCACTCAGCAGCTCCACAGCCCCTTAACACCACAACACAGCATGCAACAAGCATTCCAACTACTTGTCTACTTTCTAACTTGTATTTAGAATGCCCTGCATTTAAAGGGGAATTTCACCAACTTTTCAAAAATTTTTAAATGATTCAATAAGCAAAGTCACTCAGAGTGGTTTGATATGAAATGGTGCACTAAAGAATAACTTACAGACTCAGATTTCTGTACGGTGGTGGTGATAGGAATCAGGGAGTCACAATGTCTACAACACAAATATAGCTATTTATATGCTACATAGCTTATGTTCACTATTTAGCACTGTGCAAACTGCATGACTTAATCCTCAGACTGCATCACATTGTTAAGTAATCTGAAAAAATATTGCTTATGTGGTTTCTGCCAATAGAGTTTATACATATGTATGTATACATACATACATACACACACACATAAGTTGCTGCTGTTACAACAAAACCTTGTATCTCTTTCTATATACTTTCTCATTTTTTTACATAATATGAAAATGCCTGTTGCCCCTTACATTGTGTGTGAATTTTTTTTACATGAATGGACCAAAAGAAATGGCTTGAAGCTCCAGCGCAAAACCAAAGAAGCAAACTTCAGAAAAGAATTTAATGATAACTATTGCTTTTCGTATTATTCTCAGCTCTGCTTCATACCAGCCTGATCCAGTTCTTCAGGTGAAACCATTATGCACTCAGACTAACACTCTTCGCTTTTCCACTCTCCCCTCACCTCTATTACTCTCTCTAAACTCCATCCCTCTCCTCTTGTTTCCTCTTATCACTAAGCAGCAGCGTGGGAGATGATGGACCTGATGGTAAAAGACCTTGGCTGGCGCTCTGGCCGACTCCACATCTCTCTGCCAGAGACCTTGGTCAAATATAAACATTCCCCCTTTTTCCACACATGTGCGTAAGACACTTAAACCGCAGCCTCAAAACAGCCATGTGGATATTAAAAGCAGGCTGAGTGAGGCTAGTGCTTGTTAAAACTGTTATTTGCAGAGAAAATGAACCCATAAAACAGAACTGTTATGCTGACAAAGGCCACGCTGACGTATCTGAGGAGGGGCAGCCACTTTTTGGCACAGTGCGCTGGGGCTTTTTTTTGATTTGCTGGAATCCTCTGAAACTGAGACGCTTTTTGATTTTTTTTTGTGTGTGTGACGTAAAAAGGTCATTCTAGTTTGCTGAACATATTGATCACGTGCATAAGTCATGCACCAAGTGCTGAAGAGCGAGGCACACGGGAAAAAGATGTTGAAAAAAATCCTCCATGTGGGCGAAATTTGTAATGATTCTAACAAGGTGGAATGTAAACTCTACAAATGGCATGCAACTTTTCGCCAAGCTAAATTGTAGTCTGTCATGCCTAAAGAGCAATTCCACCAACTGTTCAAAATTTCTGCTTAATCTAATCATTAAGATGTGAACAAAAGTAATTCAGAGCAAGAAGTAATTCAGTGTTTTCGGATTTACTACTGCTTTACCGTTATTAGCACTACATATAGTGCAAAATACATGTCTGTCATTTTTAGTTCATTTTTACTTAATAGAATCATCATACTTGTTGTATAGAAACTCTGCAAGTACTGTAGTACTGGTCTTATTTCATTGTTAAGTTTGGCAGGAATCAAAAAGGCAAAAAGGCCTTTTTTTCTCTATATTATCTAGGCAGATACAGCCAGGCGAGCTCTCCCATTGGTTGCTGAACTGAACTGAAGGCCTTACAAGTTATATTAAATACCTACACAACTGGGGACTCACAGTAGAATTAACCAGTCAGCTTTTGATTTACAAAGAGACCAATTTTGTGAGAAAGAAGTTTACTCTAGGCCTTCTGGAGGTTCTAGATATGCTGTCGACTGTGATTCATAGTCTAACCTGGTTTCAGTCAGTTGTAAGAGAAATGGAAACCAGCTCTATGCCAGGACTCTTTACTGAAAGAGTCACTGTTAAGCTGATACATACAAGTTCAAATATATGTTGATGTCTGTTACAAGTTTCAAACATACTATTAGAAGTCCCATTGAGGTGCTAGTAGAAATAACATAATTGTAGAGATGCTTTGTTTTTCTTTTTGACATTTATGACCCAACAGAATGCCTGGCTCTACTAGTCACGGTTCACCAGCGATATTCAGTACATACACACCCCTGGCATGAACTCCACAAAGATGGAGAGCTTCCTCTGCTCGGGGTCCCGTAGGCAGCCATAGTACTGGACGATGCGCTCGTGCCGGAGATTCTTCAGCAGCTGAATCTCACACTCTAGTGCGTTCACCTCCTACAGTAAGAGTGAGGGAGAATAAGGAGAAAGAGAGAGGCATGAGACAAAAGTAAAAGTCAAGCAAAAAAATCACCAAATGTAGTTGATCAGCTGAGTTATGTTTGGTGTCCAAAGTTTTCTTTATTAGTTTAGCGCTGACACTACACGCCTTATATAGCTAACAAGTAATGGAAGCTGTTATCGATGCTGTCGGAACAAAACCATCTCCAAAATGGTAACTTTACAGGAGAAGGAAAAAACCTACTTTATGTTTAATGCAAGGCAATGGAACCAGACTTTTTTAAAGCACATTTTGGCCATTTCTGTTGGTTCATTCTTCATGAAATTTACACACAATGTAAAGGGCAACAGGTATATTTAAATTATGTCAAAAACTGGAAAACGATCTCCCATGTCGCATCCAATTATTTAGCCATAAAAATTAAGTTTAGTGAGATGATATTAATTAGGTCTTCAGAGGTGCCAATTCAAAAGCTGCTAAATTTTGAATTTGTTTAAAGAGACCATGTCATTGAAAAAAACCCCTCTCAATTTCAAAAGTATACAAACATTCTTTATATAGTATATAGAATAAAAAAGAAAAATGTAGGATTTGAGCCCTTTAACACTGATAATTTGTTCCCTTGACAGGGTTCATCACACAGAACATGTCCATCACAAAACTGAGAAAACATTTAATAATCATTTAGTAATTATATAGTATATATTTATTGATATACAAAACAGTTTAGCTTGAGATATTTCACCCTGTCAAAAATTCAGTATAATGAGATTGTAGTTGTCAGTGTTCTTTGGCTTAAATATGCAACTAAAACTACAGCAGACAAAATTCCTCGATGTGACAAAATTTCAAAATATCATCTCTATTTGGCTCTGATCTTTTAGACTGGACATTTCTATTACTTGTTAGCAACAGCCTTGTAGCTTTAGTACAATATCATACCATAAGAAGCTACTTTTGGAAACTAAACGTCTTGGCTGATTGTCTACTTTTGGGAGAAGATGGATTTTTGCTTTAATGAACTGAATTCTATGTTAACTGTGACTGAACAGATGTTTCTTTACCTTGCTGGTTTCCTGGCAGTCGGGGTCGAAGGGCACCTGTTTGACAGCCAGTTCCCGACCCGTATCGGCATCGTAGCAGAGGTAAACCTCCCCGAAAGCACCGCGGCCCAGCAACTTCCCCTGACGCCAGTTTACCGGCGCCCGGGGGGCTACACACAGACAGACCACAGAGACGTCAACAGCAGTATTTCATACACAGACTCGCAGACTACAAACCACAACTGGGTTTACAGCTTAATCTCATTTAGACACACAGATTCAAACTGATTTATGTTCATCTACATGGGTTCAGAGAACAGACTTGCTGACATGGAATTATCCTCCACTCTCTTATCCTGTATTCATAGATCATCTAAATATAACATCTCTGAATCAAAGAATACATCTAAGTAAGCCTTAGTATTATTATCGTTATTATTCATTATCACTTCTTTATCAATCTCTGGCCAAGCCATGGACACAATGCACATTTCTGTCTCTCCTGACAGTTGCAGTATTATTCATTTCTAATTACATGCAGAGACATTTTTTAAATGAGCAGTATGATATCTTTCGAATTTTAATGTTTCAATGCGCTTTGAGGCCAAATGAATGTGTGCATACTGGCAAATATCAGCGTTGCTCAGTTCCCTTGTTCCCGTTATGATTAGATGAACTTAATCACGACTCAATCAAAATTACTACTAAATTTACATCTAAAAGCATGATCTGATATTTTTTAAAATCTGCATACTTGATATAATGTGCTGAAATATGATAGAAAAATAAGAAATTATGAAATATCTATTTTAAGAAATTTTGGTAATTAAGAATTTTTCACATGAGGCACACTAGACAAGAATTTCACATTTAACCATATTCTTCTTGTTCATTTTAGGCCAATGAAGTCTGTCTAATCACGGTAGACATCTTAATTATCACTTTATACCTCATCTCAAAATATCCCCAAAATAATTTTAATGTTATAGCCTACATTAAAGTGATAGAAATAGATAAGAATAGATAGAAATAACAAAGTCTGAAATAATTAAATAGGTATTTGCTGATGAAGCTGGTGTGAAGCACAACAGAGTCAGATAACGCCTCCTGCACAGGACTTTTATTCCCACACGCTCTGTCAATCTTTGTTAAGTGGGGCTTTTATTTTGACACACTGCAGCCAACACTTTGTAACGTTTCATCTCCTTCAACAAACAGGTTTGACTCTAATGTGATCATTCATAATTATTAGCCGAATGAGCAATCAGTTACATTAATAAAGGCACAAACTGAGAATTTGAATGACACTTCCATTTTAGACAGACTTGGTCTGAGAAACAGTATCTATAATGAATCAGCCCGCTAGGACTTTTCAGTGCGTCCAGACAGAGCTAGGTTTTTATTAACCTTTAGTGCAACCATGCAAAATCTGTCTGTGTTTTTATCACTTTTCTCCACTTGTTGGAATCAGCCTCAGTTCCTGCTAATCTGTGCAGAGGTAAGAAACAGAGGAAAAGTGGAGATGTTTGAACCTCAGCCCACAACTGGTCTAAAGAGCCAAAGCAAACTGCATTGTTTAATTCAATGGTCTGATTAAACATTTTATGTCACGCAGCTTTGACTTTTTTCCATAATGGCAGGCATGTCCTCTCCTGAGAGGATCTGTTTCGGTCGGGTTCGGACATCATTTCTTCAGTTTTTGTCAGGTTCGGGGCAGGTTCAGTTTTCATGTTCAATCTATGGTGCAAGCCTTATTTTATTTTGTTGAGCTACAGTCGTGTTTTGTTGGCCACAGTGGAGTTTAGAGAGAATATTGTTTTAAGCTACAGTCAAGTTCAGACAAAATTTTGTCTGGCTACATTCGAGTTCAGAGAGAACTTGGTCTGGCTGCAGTCAGTCTCAGACAGAATTCTGTTGGGCTATAGTCAGGTTCAGACAGAAGTTTGTCAGGCTAAAGTCGGGTTTAGAGAGAATTTTGTCAGGCTACAGTCGGATTCAGACAGAATTTTGTCGGGCTACAGTCGGATTCAGACAGAATTTTGTTAGCCTGCAGTCGGATTCAGACAGAAGTTTGTCAGGCTACAGTCGGATTCAGACAGAATTTTGTTAGGCTGCAGTCGGATTCAGACAGAATTTTGTTAGGCTGCAGTCGGATTCAGACAGAAGTTTGTCAGGCTACAGTTGGATTCAGACAGAAATTTGTCAGGCTAAAGTCGGGTTTAGAGAGAATTTTGTCGGGCTACGGTCGGATTCAGACAGAATTTTGTCGGCCTACAGTCGGATTTTGTTTGAATTTTGACAGAATTTTGTTGGCTGCAGTCAGATTCAGACAGAAATTTGTCGAGCTACAGTCGGGATTAGACAGAATGTTGTTGGCTTATGGTCAGTTAGGTGGGGTTAAAGCTCTAGTCTATTGTGTGTGTGTGCATATTCTCACACTTAGCAGCACTGCGCTGACTGCTCTTTTCAGTCCAACTGATGGAGTGCATGTCTCCGCCATACTGCAGCGTGCTCTCTCCATTATAGCTGCGCGTGCGGCTGGACGGAACCAGCTGGAAGAGGTTCTCCTGAGGCATGAAGCTGCGGGGAAATGTCCTCCGACCTGCAGACATACACAGAGGGGCACAAACAGAGAGAGTTAAACAACATACCATGTTTAGACTGAGCTAACACTTTTGCCCAAAGGAGGAACAGCGCTTGCAGGATTTTTGGTGCTAAGTGTACAGCATTGGTGGAAACCAGTTGTAACAACCAAGCATATATTTCCATTGTGAAATCTACCAGCCATAAATAATTTCAACTGGGAATGCTAGCAGGCAAACAGATACTTCCACTGGGAATTCTACCAGCCAAACATATATTTCCACTGGAAAATCTACCAGCCAAACATACATTTCCACTGGGAATTCCACCAGCCACACCTACATTTCCACTGGGAAATCTACCAGCCACACATACATTTCCACTGGGAAATCTACCAGCCAAACATACATTTCCACTGGGAATTCTACCAGCCAAACATATATTTCCACTAGGAAATCTACCAGCCAAACATACATTTCCACTGGGAATTCTACCAGTCAAACACATGTATTTGCATTGGGAATTTTACAAGTCAAACCCATGTATTTCCACTGGGAATTCTACCAGCCAAACATGTATTTCCCTTGGTAATTCAACCAGACAAACATATATTTCCTGATATTCGGAATGAGCCAGGATTCCTGAGCATTCATAACATCTTATGGACAATGCGTGGTGATTTGTGAACTAGACCTGCAGTATCCCATGGTTGAAGGTGAAAAATGGTCACAATAGCTGACTCTACTATAATGTAAATTCTTAATTTTAACACCAGGTTTTGCACAGGAGTGGCATGCTAGACTTAAAATGACTTAAAATGAAATCCTGTTTAATTAGCTTGCATTGAAAGTTACGATAGTTTTTTTTCCAACGATATGCTGTACAAAAGCTGTAAGCACACACTTTAACTCTACTGTTCTCTCCTGACAATTTGTGAGTTTTTAGAGCTCTCATTTTCCTTCCTGTCCTTGCACACTCTCTCTCTCTCTTTCTCTCTCTCTCTCTCTCTCCCTCTCTAAGTTTCCCTTGTCCCCTAGACAGGAAGCAGCCCTGAGTCTGCTGTTTTGATACAGTCAGTGTGTGTTCCCTCTCTGGGGAACCACAAATCACACACACACAGCAGTGTTTAGATACACAAGCTGTGCTCCTCTCAGGGGAAATGGACATCTCTGCTAGCCAAGGTTATGCACTGAGAGCACACAACACACACTTGCCCCACATAGAGAAGAGTGATGGTCTTCAGCCATGGAATGTGTAGTCAAGTGTAACACACACACATACAAGAGGACCACATATGCAGCAAAAACCAGCAAGTGACGCAGATGCCATAGAAACATGATACTCTTAATTAATATAATTTTAAAAATCCCTGTTATCAGATTAAGTAGAACACTGTTGTCTCTCTCTCTGTGAAGTGTTGTGACTGTTGTGTTGAACTGCAGTGAGGGGTGAAAGGGGAGGAGTGAGCACCCCCTGCTGTGAAAACGACTCACCTCCCATAAAGAGATAAAGAGCGGAAAATGACAGGACAACTGCAGCTTTCTTCATATCAAACAAGCAAGTGCAAATGGCAGAATAAAAAACAGCATTTAAACACTGAAAATGGTAACTAGCTTGCTCAAATATGACAATGAAAATCCAGTAACTTTCCATTTCTAAATGTATTCCATCAACATTGCTGAAGAAAATGTATAGTTTTAACTACTGAAGGACCTCCAGAACATGTGGAACGCACATTTTTAAGGCTAAAGGGCTGAAGAAATGGCTCAGCCAAACATGCTGTGGTTGTAATGAATAAAAGACAGTAGCCACCAATTAGCATGAGGTCATTCACGTAATGAGGACTGGTTGCTAACATTAGCATTTAGGACTGAACTATTTATTTATGAGCTTAGATAAGAGCCTCAAGCTGCATTTAATGACAGTCTGTCTGCGTTCTACCCTACCTGTTGTGAAAGCACAGAAGAAGGCAGCAGGACACAGTTGAGAAATTCAAGACTAACAGTGTCACATTATTGCACCATGACTGGCTGTGCAATTTCCGGTAGCTACTTAAAGCAGCAAAGTAGCTGCAAAAGAATGTATATAATTCACTGATATTCATTTGATCACAAGTTATCCATGACACAGTCATTAATCCCTCAATATTAATAGTGTGATTAGTCACACATTGTTGTAATAAAGGCAGCTTACCGTCACCGTAGTCCTTGCTGCGGTTGGATATGTGGAACTGCCTGGGAAAAGTCCCGTGCTTCCCATGACGGCCTGCAGGGGAAGCAGTGACAATTGCAGCTCAGTTGACATGACAGGAAAGCTCAATTAGCTTGTTATTATTATGAGTTGATAAGCTTTTAACATGAACAACTTGAAGGAGATTTTGAGCTGTTATCAGACAGTTCTATTAGACCAAGTATGCATATAGTACAGGAACAGTTTCCCCCTTATCCCAAAAACAGGGCTGGGCAAATCTCAATACATGATATCGCGATTTACTTTTAATGTAAGTCAATGGAACCAGACATCTTTCCAAGTAATTTGGGGTGATTTATTTTGGTCCATTCATCATGAAATTTACACACAAAGTAAAGGGCGACAGGTATTTCCAAATTATGTCAAAAACTGAAAAACAAAAATGGAGATACGAAATTTTCTTCCGACAACAGCGATATGCATTATGATATTTCATTTTTCTGAGGTTTATTAATGTATTATCATATTTCCCACTCTATACCAAAACATTGTCAATCAGCCAAGGCATGTGTGGTGTCTTTAGTTTTGCATTAGCTATATGGCTAATGTAGCTAACAAGTAATAGAAGCTCATCGGAATCCCAGGTGATTGCCAAGGTGTTGCTAGGCTGTTGCTATGGCATCCCAGGAGGTTGCTAAGGTGTTGCCAGGCTATTGGTATGGCATCCCAGGTGGTTGCTTAGGTGTTGCTAGGCCATTGCTAGGTTACACCCGAAGGTTGCGAAGATGTTGCTAGGCCGTTGCTGTGGTAACCCAGATGATTGCGAAGATGTTCCTAGGGATTTGCTAAGATATCCCTAGAAGTTGCTAATGTGTTGCTAGGCTGTTGCTGTGAAATCCCAGATGGTTGCTAAGGCATTAGAAAGTCAAGTTAAATCTGCTGCTGCTGCATTTAACTGGAACTCGGAATCTTCTGCTTCCTACATAAAAGCGTCATGCAACTTTAGCTGTTTAAGGTCAGGTCACTTGTTTGGCTGCTGTGTGAGTTTAAAAAGCCATTAGTAGCGCTACTAATGTTTTTATCATGATGCTAATGTATTTGCTGTAAAATTTCATTGCCTTTTAGCTACACTACAGAAGCAAACTTCAGACACCAAACATGTCCTAGCTGATCGACTACATTTGGGGTGAGAGGGGGAAACTGCTCAAGGTTTGATTTCTTACAAAACTACTCCTTTAAGCTCTGCAAGAAGAGAATTCAATCACTCTCAAAAACTTGGCACCAGTAAGGCACAAGAAAGGGGGACACAGAGAGACAGATAGAGTGAGAGAAGAAGAGAGAGGAGTCAGAAATGAGTGCGCAAGCGGAGGTGGTGGAGCCAGACCGGCTTTGACAGCGCTGCTCGCTTTAGAATGAGCTCTGGGTTCGGAGGCCACATGCAATTGGAAGCAGCTGCAGTGTGTGTGTCTGTGTGATCAACGCTGCAGCGTGTTTTCAGCTCCGTCTCCCGGGGCGACCCGCTCATTTTCTCTTTAGAAGCAGAGAACGGAGAGGAAAAATCTACTCATAAGACAGAGTAAACAAATCAGCCGCCTCTATGGAGATACCCTCCACCGGCCAGGATCGCTGAAACAGAGAGCCTGTGTGCGTGTATGACAGCATGTAGTCTCCTGAACAGACGAGCATGTGGTTGACTGTTTGAATTTATTCACCCTTGAATGGGAGAAATTTTATTTTTTGTTGTGAGCTACAGACAGTCAGAGTTACCTAGCACAGACAGACAAAAGCATGTATGTATGTGTGTGTATGCATGTATGTATGTATGTCAGTATACCTATGTATATATGAGTGTGTGTGTGTGTGTGTGTGTGTGTGTGTGTGTGTGTGTGTGTGTGTGTATGTGTATGTGTTCTTTCACAGACGTGCCTCTCTCTGTTTGGGAGGATTACTATCTCATTATCAAACAGGCCTGTTTTATTTGATCGTCGTTCAAGAGGAAAAACAGCAGCAGGAGGACGAAAGAGAGAGAGAGAGAAAGAGAGAGAGGGAGAGTCTGTTCTCCTCCAGTCACTCTGTGTGTTCTCAAGAGTACATCAGAAATGTAATGACAAAAAAAGCAGAGAAAAATCCCCCCTTCTCTCTGCCAAAACACTCAGTGGTGTAAACGCCTTATGAAGTGAGCCCCATTTCAACCTACAAGTCTTCTAATAACAAAAATGTCAATCCTGACTCCTCCCACCCGCTGTTAGAGCAGCGTCTGTTTGTTTTCATACATTTTTTAGGACAAAAAAAAGCTCTAACTTTGTACGAGAGAGAAACAGAGCTAATGTACAAAGCCAGCCAAATGCTCCTGACTTGTGAATGCTCCTTACGCTTACAAAAATTCTCTCGTACACACACACACACACACATACACATGTATATACACACACATACATATATATATATATATATATATATATATATATATATATATATATATATATCGCTGCTGCCGGAACAAAACCTCGCATCTCCATTTTTGTTTTTCAGTTTTTGACATAATTTGAAAATGCCTGTAGCCCTTTACATAATGTAATTATGTATTAATTTCATGATGAATGAAATGACTTGGGCGGGGTTCCATTGACTTACATTAAAAGTAAAGTAAGTTTTTCCTTCTCCTGTAAAGTTACCATTTTGGAGATATGAGGTTTTGTTCTGACAGCAGCAAGATATATACATACATATATATATATATAATATAAAATACTTACTTATTACACACACACACACACACACACACACACACACATATATATATATATATATATATATATATATATATGTGTGTGTGTGTAATAAGTAAGTATTTTCTAAGCATAAGGGGCATTTAAATTTTTATGTTATCTGTGTTTCACTTTTGAAATGCGATGAATTCAAGATATTTATTTAATTAGAACCTAATTATTGATATTGAGCTTTTTCAGTCATTTTAAAATCTTCCAAAGCTCTGTTCATCATTCTGGACACATTTAACATTTCTTATTTTTTATTTACCTCTTCCTTTTTTAACAGCTTCATGTTTATTTACATGCTCATTTACCTGTTACAACAGTATGGCTGTCTAATCAGAGAGTGTGGGTGCTAGTCTGGCCTGTCTACAGTCCAGACCTGTCTTCTACTGAAAACGTGTCTTATAAATTTTATAATATCACAATAGAGGCCCAGCTGGACAGGTGCTGCACAGCTGAAGAAAAAAAAAATCTGCACTGAAAACTTCATCGACTGGTGTCTTCATTCCCCAAATGTATTCTAAGTGTTGTTAAAAGGAATTACTATTTTATTAGTATGTCGTTAGTATTTTTTTGGAATTGAGTTCATATGGTCCTACATCCTGACACTGTATATAATAATAATAATAATAATAATAATAATATTCTGAGCAGATGAAATGTTGCTTTGCTTTCTCTCACCTTTATAGTCGAAGTTAAGGTTCAGGTAATTGTTGTCTCGGTTGTTCTGGGAGAACGGCGGACTGTGAAATTAAAAGAAAGAGAGAGAGACAGAATAATAAGACAAATGGTGGGCTATTTTTGCTCTGAACTCTCCTCTTGGCCTGGGTGAGGCTGGCTCTTGGCTGCAGAGGATGAATGGCCTACATTCCCACACAGTAAAGCCTCCACTGTGCCAAGCTCCTGCTGAGAGAGGAGCTGCCTGAACACCTGTCAGCCAACCAGGGAAGGACGCAGACTGACAGAGCCTTCATCTGATCTTACGCTGACCACCATAATGCAGCTCCACATACCTGTCTGAGATATTCAGCTAGTAACTACTAGAATGACCTGAATGCAATTTTATAATCCAGCCTGGGCAGGAAAACTGTCTTTGGTCTCAGGAGGCACAATAAATACGACGTTAAATACTATGTACATCAAAAACGATATGTATAGATTAACAGTAACATATAATAAAATACACTGGGTTGCCAGTTTATTAGCCATACCTACCCCATATTTAGCCATACCTGTCCCTTACCTATACTGGCCATTTTATCAGAAAAAGTAACAGATGGGCTACAGTCAGTAATTGTAAAGCAAAGTGCACCTACAATTGTATGCAAAAGTTTGAGCGCCCCGATTAAATGACACATTTTGTTGATTATCTAAGTGAAAATAAGTTAACATATTCTCTGCAGAGAACACAATTGCTGTTTATTTGCTGAATTTAACATAAATAATAAAAAAATAAAACATAGAATGTGGCCTGTGCAAAAATTAAGGCATGTCTTATTAAAAATAAAACATTTTTATGCCATATTTTAGTCTATTCTCTGTAGAAGATGTGTTAATTTCCCTTAGAAAACCAACAAAACATGCACTTTGACCAAACTTTTGCATACAACTGTATGTGGTAGGTAAATCTAAAAGGACAGCCAATGAACGAAGGTAGGTGTGCCAAATGAACAATGTACATAAAATTATGAAAGAGTATTGCACGAATAAAAATTAAATAATCATTAAAGAATTAAATAATCACCTATACATGTTTCGGTTGCTAGCATGAGTCTTTAGCATTGACCTGAGGATAATAACTCAAACATGTTATAATTAATCCACTCCTGATTCTTGTCCAACAACTACATTTAATAAACAATTGATTCTGCCACAGAACCAGACTGATCTAAAGTGAGTAAATTAAATATTGTACACTTACACTGTACATAAATATTGTTTAGCTTATATATCAGAAAATCCAACTGTCAGGTTTGCACTCAGGCAATCTCAGAGAACATTTGGGCCAATGGAAATGTAATATTTCAGATATGGACATTAATGGGTTAATGACAGTCAGTTCAGTCTGTTTTATAATAGGCTGGCTGATGTCATTAGGTGATGACCAGTAATTGACTGTGTTATAATAGAGATGATCTTTTCCAGAGACTGATAGGTGGACCGCTAGGGTTGGGGACTGCCAGACAGACTAGCGTGCAGCGATGCACGTTCACATAACTTACTGTTAGTAAACTCAGAGCAAGTCCAGGAACAGCCAGGACACTGTTTAGGCCACTTCTGATCAGGACTTTAAGACTTTAAGAGTTTTGTGCGATTCAGTCTTTTTCATAACGTTCCACATTTTGTTACAGACACTGACGGTATTCTAAACAGAACGCTGCATCAGTTCTTGGTGAGTTAGGAACAGAGCAGTTGGGGAATGTTAACTGTCCGCTGACGTTAGCATACAGCTCGCCAGCCATGTTAACCCAATTCAGACTTAAAGATGTTTACATTAATCGAGCAATGCTTACACTTGATTTGACGCAGCGCAGACCTGCAATGACTTCTCTTAAACACCGAGAAATAAACATAAGCAAGCGCGCACATAAACACAAGCCAATTATTACACTCGCTCAGCATGTTTCATTTAGTTTTCTGACTGATATGCAGTTATTTTGAACTGTTCAAACTGTGACCTACAGACATTTCAGCCCCTTAAACTGGAAGCATCTGTCGTCAGATCAACACTTTCCTTCTTCAATCTTATCTACCTACTGACTTTACATATTGATTTTACAGAAGTTACCGAATACTTAATAAAAATTAATCACTGAGTAATTATTGTTATTGTATAACATATAGTAATCACTGAATAATTCATAATAATTACCGAGTAATTTGTAGTTATTGTACAATTTATAGTAATTACTGAAAACTGTATAGTAGTTACCGAATAGCTCATACTCATTACTGAATCATTTATGATGGTGAATAATTAATAGTAATTACTGAATAATTCATAAGTAGATACCGAATAAATCACTTACTAAATAACTTACATTAATTACTGCATAATTCATACTGGTTACTGACTTTCATAGTAATTACTGAGTAATTCTTAGATAATAAATAATTTATAGTAGTTACTGAATATTCAGTTTTTAGTTACTGAATAATTTATAGTAGTTACTGAATAAGTTATTAGTTACTGAATCATTTATTTTAATTACTGAATAATGCATATTATTTACTAAATGATTCATACTGGTTACTGACTATTTCATAGTAATTACTGAGTAATTCTTAGATAATAAATAATTTATAGCAGTTACTGAATAGTCAGTTTAGTTACTGAATAATTTATAGTAGTTACTGAATAATTATATTAGTTACTGAATAATTTATGGTAATTACTGAATGTTATATTAGTTACTGGGTCATTTATTTTAATTACTTAATAATGCATATTATTTCCTAAATAATTAATAGTAGTCACTGAATAACTCATAGTTAATGAATAATTCACAGTGGTTACTGCATAAGTTATAGACGTTACAACTGTTGCATGTTGCACATAAAGTTCAATGCTTTTTCCACAGTACAAAGTAAACAAGACAATACTCTAACTTTGGATATTTTCAGTTCTTTGTTTATTTAAGCTAACACTGCTGATGCTGTACTCTGTATGAAGGCGAATCAAAATCATGCACGTTAATTTGACTCGGCTGGCTGGGTGCACAAGGAATTTACATGTGCCACTTGTGAAGCTTTACAAAGAGCTGAAAAGTCAAAAGGTTAGCTGTGTTTTACAGTATTACTCAGTGTTTTCTTCCTGTAGTCTCACTGTGGTATCACACATTGTAATACTGTACTACTGATATTAGCATCACAGCTTTAAGTTACTGAGTAATTCATAGTAGGAGGTGAATCATAAGGCTTAAGACTATCAACCGTGAAATAAGTCTGAAGGGGTTAAGAGAGTGTGAACTGAACTAAGGTCAATGTAAAAGGCCACAGTTTGCAGTGTGTATTGTCCGGCTCTGGCTGTGTTAATGCAGCTGACCCTGCACCCCCCCAGCCCGGTGATGTCAGCGGCCTGCAGGACGAGACCCCGGATAGCAGGCACACACGCCCGGAGAGAGGGAAGAAATTTCCATGCACTCGTTTCCTGACATTGTTCGGAAAGCCAGAGGCCAGATAAGGCTCGTGCAGGTAGCGCCGTTTCCGTCTTTTCCTTCTCTCTCTCTCTCTCACTCGCTCTCTCTCTCTCTCTCTCTTTTCCTGTCTTTACTCCTTCTTCCACTGTCTCTCTATTATACTACCATCTACTACACTCACTTGCCTACATTCATTTACCTAATTCATTACATACTGGTTACTTTAATAACAGTATTCAGAATATCAGTTTTAACATTTTCTCTCTCGCTTGCTCACTCTCTCTCTCTCTCTCTTTTCCGCCTCACTATTCCTTTCACATTGTAATTTCCATTTTTTTATTCTTAAATTCAATTCACTACATTTATTTACTTTATTCAATTAGTTACAACAGAATTGCTATCTCTCTCTCTTACTTTTATCTGTTCTTACTATTCTTTTCACATTTTTTTCATCCTTGTATTAATTTCACCATTTTTATTTACCTTATTCTATTCGTACTGGGTGTTCTAGTAACAATACTATGTGGTCAATTCTGAAGCATAAATCATTTACAACATAATTGCTTTCCCTTTGTGTCTCTGTCTCTCTTCCTTGCTCTCTCTCTCTCTCTAACTCCTTTACTATCTCTCCCACTTTTCCCCACTCTCACTCCCCTTTCCATCTCATTTATACCCATTCACTAATTCTAATGCCTTATTTATTACATTCTGGGTATTTTAATAACAGCACTGTACAGGCAATTCAGAACAATAAATTAGCCACAGTATAACTGCCCTCTCTCTCTCTCCCTCTCTCTCTCTCTCTCTCTCTCTCTCTCTGTCTCTCTCTCTCAGCAATAGCTCTGGAATCCAGGCGTCCAGATAAGGCCATTGTTACCACGGCAACACACTGGGCTTTCCTGGTTGGCCTCCGCCGCGACCCGATTCCATTCCTTCGGCGGGGAGCCGCACTAGTGGTATTACCACACACACGCACACTTGCTCTAATGCAGCAGCCACGCCCGTCACTGACGCAACCGCTGTTCCGGAAGGTTCCACTCACCTGTCCAGCGCCTGGTCCAGAGACTGGCAGCTGCTGGAGAGCGAATCATCAGCGCTGCCAAACGGCTCCATGATCTGCAGGAAACAAACACAACATCAAACTTGACTGATAACTATTACAGCCTATTATCTTTAGTTTATCTATATCGCTGCAGTTGGAACAAAGCCTTGTATCTCCAGTTTTGTTGTTGCCCTTTATACGGTGTTAAACTCCATGATGAATGGAGTGCTCCAAAATTACTTGGAAAGAAATACTTAGCCCATATCCTACATTTTTCTTGTATTTTATTTTTCCCTGAGGTCCACTTCTAACATTTGTGTGGTTTTATGCACCAAAAACAGTCATGATCATTTTCCAACCTTTTCCAACCTCTTAGAATTAAACACGGTGTTTGCTACTGTGCCTTTAAAACTGATATATGTAAATGATCTCTACTCTGATTGGCTGCCCTGTATTGTGTCTCATTCAAAAAGCAGTCTTCTCCAAATACTAACTTTACAGGGCAAAAAATTGTTATGTTAATGTAATGAGGTTTTATTCTAAGCAATTTTGGATCATTTCTTCTGGTCCAGTCTTTATGAAATGTTCACACAGTGTAAAACGCCTCTATTTTGATATGACCCTTAGTGGGTTCCTCTGAAGGTTCTTCACGATTGCTTTAAAGTAAACTTAATCAGCCTGAGAGGTCTATCAGTAACTCAGCACTTACGTTAGGGTCGAGCGTCTCTGGGATGAACTCTCCTTCGCTGTGGATGCTGGTGTAGGAGCCCTGTCGAGCAATCTGCTGCTGCTCCTCAGGGACGCTGCCTGGAGGGGGCGAGCTGCGGCCTGTGTGCAGAGAGCCTGCAGAGAGAGTGAGAGGAAAAGAGAGAACTTTTACTGCCAAATGTGCAACAATATTCAACAAAATCCCTGAATGTGACTAAATTCAATGTATCTGCTATTTGGCTGGCAGCTACGGTGCCAGTTGTTTCTAGTACAATGTACATATTTAAAAAGCTGACTCCCAACAAACACACAACATTGCTACTACGTTGTCAAAAGTTGGTGCTGTTTACATTGTCTGAACAAGATTGTCATAACGCTGTCACAACCTCAATATTAAGCAACGTTGCCGGGCGGTGTTATGACTACCTGGCCATTGTTTATCAAGCACCCCAGTGTAAGAACACTGATCTAAGATCAGGCCTCATCAGTCCATGTAGTCCTACTCAATGCTATGTAAAAGGCATAAACAAACATCAGATCGGCATTATTAATCTGAGATGTGAAATAAACGTGGAACTTAAGAGGATTCTAGGAGGTTGTGACAACAAACTGATAACGTTGCCATTACATTGTCACAATGTTGTCAGATTATGTTGTCCCAACTTTGTGGAGAATCACATTTCAACACTTTCACAACACTGAGGGCACCAAAACAACAGGTTGTCACAACATGGTCACAACGTAACTGTGTAGCAATGGTCTACAATTTGCAACTGTGAACCTGGAAAGCGCTCCTACAGTTGTATGCAGAAGTTTGAATACCCCCAGTGAAATTACATGTTTATTTTCTCTACAGGAATCACACTTAAATATTATATTTTTCGGCTCATTTCAGTGCACAATTTCTATTTATTTACATAAAATGTGCCTTATCTTTTGCACAGGCTACATTTATTTTTTTCCAATATGTTAAATTCAGCAAATAAACAGAAACTGTGCATTAAAATGTGCAGAAAGCTTTAACACAAAAAGATGTGTTAACTTATTTTCACTTGGGGCACTCAAACTTGGTATACATTGCTTATAAAGTGGCCAATGAGTACTTCATGTGGTGTTTCTGATATTTTGTACATGAACTGTATGTGGTATTGAAGGACTTACGACTTACAACTTCATTGTGAATGGGCGGGGCTAAACTGCTATAGACTGAATAGGTGGAGATATGTAAATGTTTTTGTATGACATCACAAAAACAATGAGTTCGAAACGAGCTGTTTTTGCTGCTGAGTTTCCATAAACTTCTTTATTTTAATAAAAGCAAGTGACATTAAGCTTTCCATGATACGGGCCTTTTAACAGATGTATGATGAACAGATTAAAATGCTGTGACAAAATTATAACTTAATATGGTCATATCAATCAAGAGAGAGAGAGCAATATATACATATATTTATATATATATATATATATATATATATATATATATATAGAGAGAGAGAGAGAGAGAGAGAGAGCAGAGAGAGAGAGCAGAGAGAGACATAGTAAATTGAGCCAAAGCTGGAGTCTGAGTTTAAGAAATGAACAGAATAGAAGGAAGGAAGCAAAGAAAAAGGAGCAAAGGAGTAATGGATGCTGGTGGGAATGAGTCAAGCAAAGTGGAAAAAAAGACAAAAACCAAGCATTAAAGAGAGAGAAAGTGTGTGTCATAAGAAGAAAAAAGGAGAGAACAAGGAGAGAAACAAAGCATGTGGGAGAGAAGAGGAGATAAAGGAGGATGAGGTGAGAGAATTAGAAGGATAAGAGCAGACGAGGGCACGAGTTAGAGAGAGAGAGAGGGAACAGTGATGGAGAAATGAAAGAAGGTCAGAAGGGACACATTTTTATGAAGAGTAAATGCTGAAAGGCGCCAGCGATGGAAAAAGTGATATATATATATGTGGCTGTAGAGTGAAAAAAAACGACTGATAAAATAGACTGAAGTGTCACCTTTCACCCCAATTACAGCACAAACACTGTCTCTTCTCACATTAATATACAGAAACAATGTCCTTCACTCTATTTATCTCAGCCGACCAGGGTAAAAAGAAAAACAGAGTGAGGGGAAAAGAGAGAGAGCTGCTCAGGGAATCTGACAAACAGAAAGTTTGAAGGAGCTTCTTTTGATCTCGATCATTCGGTCTCGTTCTCATTGTCTGTCTCACTCATTGTCTCTCCCTCTCTCTTTGCCTTTCATCTCTGTCTCTCTTTTCCTCTGTCCCTTTCTCACTGTTCTCTCTGTCTTTCTGTACCTTTGTCTCTCTCTTTTTTCCTCTCTCTCTGCCTCCCTTTCCAACCTTTTTCTTTTTCAATCTCCTTTTCTCTGTCCCTTTCTCACTATTCTCTCTGTGCTTTTTCCCTTAATCTTTTTCCTCTCTCTCTGCCTCCCTTTCTCTCTTCTCACTTTTCCTTTATCTCTCACTCTCTCCTTTCCTCTCTTGCTCTGCCTCCCTTTCTCTCTTTTCATTCATTTCTCTTTTCCTCCCTTCCTCTGCCTCACTTTCTTACCTTTCTACCTTTCTCTCTCTCTCTACTCACTTTTCCTCTCTCTCTTTGCCACTCTCTCCTTCTCTCTCTTTTCCTCTATTGCTCTGCCTCCCTTTCTCACCTTTTTCTCTTTCTTGTTCTCATTCTTTCTCACTCCTCTTTGTCCTTCTCTTTCTCTTCTCTTTTCCTTTATCTCTCTTCTTCTCTCTCTCTCTGCCTCCCTTTCTCACCTTTCTCCCTTTCATTCTCATTCTTTGTCTCTTTTTGCCTCTCTCTCTCTCTCTCTCTCTCTCTCTCTCTCTCTCTCTCAGCCTAAGAGGACAAAAAAGGGAAAAAAAGTGAGAGGGGAAAGGAGTGAGCTGCTCATTGAATCATTTGCCAAAAAATGAAAAGCACGTTCTCTCTTTCTTTCTCCCACTCTTTTTGTCTCTTTGCCTCATCTGTTTTTTTTCCTTCCTTCTCTTTCTTTCACTGTCCTTCCCCCTCAGCCTCTTTCTCTCTGTTTCTATGAAAATGAGCTTTTGTTGGTGAGCCTGTATTAATTAAAATAGTGCCAAAGCATAATAACCATAATGTTACCGTAATAATAATAATAATAATCTCTATCTCTCTATCAGTCTCACTAGCCAAAATAATACTGCTCATTAACTGTGGGCAACATAAGAAATGACCAAAATTGTGTGATTTTTTTTTCCCTTGTTTGCTGAAGTCATAAGCGTTCTTACAGCACATTCTGTCCATTTCAACTTGTTTAAAACCACAGCATCTCACTGAAAGCATTAGTTGCATGCTAATAATCCACCAGCTAACCGGTCAGATCACATTCCGGATTACCACTGAAACAGCCCTTAGAGTGTTACTAAATACACGAAGATTCAGACTGGCGGCTAAGGAAGTGTTATCACCGTCATAATCGTTGGGGGGGGGGATTGCGCACAGACAACAGAATGTCGAGTTGCACACGTGCATTTGCACAATCGTTTATTGTTAAAGATGATGTCATTTTGAGACCTATCATGTCAAACACGAGGAAAAGCCTCATGCTCTGATACATTCAAATAATACTCCATTCTTTTGCAATTTGCCTGGTGTGAAAGTGAGATTTTATCCTCTCGAGAGGGGTCAAAGTAGATCATGAATCCAACTAATGAATTAATAATTTAATCTTTAGGAGCTGCAGTTATGACTGGTGATAACAGAAGTCATCTCTCTCTTACAGCTCACTAAAACAAGTGGAGAAATTCTGCGAAGTGCAAATTCTAAACTTTCAATGCATTTGTGCTATTAAGAAAAAGAGAAGATATTTTATTATGATTTTGAGTTTGATGAAAAGGTGCCATTATTTTGCAGAAAGAAAAAACACCTTTTAATAGTTTAACTATCATTAAATACGTAACAATACCATTTAAGTACTACAGCAAAGCTACAATAATAACTCTAGACTGGTTTGATGTGTCCTGGACACTACAGACTGACCAAATATAACAGCAGCTGTATCTGCGTCACACATTTGCATTCATTTGCATTCAGAAGTGTTACGTCGTAGCCAAGTTTCGACTCTGATAACCTGCCCTTCAAAAACGACGGAAATAACAGTCCACAGATCAGCCTCTACTCAGCCAGCGCAGTGGACAGAGAAAAAGGCAGCTAATGAAGTGATAAAGCTGCTGAGTTAACAAGCCGCTACGTATGTGTGCACAAAAAGGTATCTTGGCAAGTGAAAGCATCTTAAAGGCAGCTAATATCTATACCTACAAATTTTAGGCACCTAAAGATCAGGATTAAAAGTGGGCAATAAGCATTTATTTGCTCTGAAAAACGTTAGTATTAGAAAAAATACAAATAATATTGATGCGATAAGTGATGATTTTACATATGTCGATGACCTCTATACGTTCTCCATGGTGCAGCCCAGCATTACTTGTAGTAATCATTTAATCAGTAAACAAGGGGTCGGCAACATACGGCTCTTTTACTGCCCTGTTGCGGCTCCACAGCAGAATTAGATTTTTTTTTAAGTAAAAATAAAATAATCCTCCTTTGCAGTAAAATAAAGCTCTGCTGGTGGCTGTAACACAGTTTTAACAATTAATGGTCTTAAACGCTGGAGTTAATGTATATCTGCTAATTCGCCTTTTAACCCTGAAGGGTGTCACGCAGACACAGACAACAATCTCACCTAGTAGCTAACAAAACGGCAAAGAGAGAGATTTAAGACAAACACCAATGATGGAGATGAATGGACTTATTTGCATTCATAAGCACTCAGCTGGTTTCCTGATACCGAAGCTGAAGTCAGTTTCTCGTTCGAATTTTCCTGGTCCACCTTAAATGGTGCAGCAGTTAAATTCTGGCACCTCAGGTACCTTTTAAAGTGGAACAGGAAGCTCGCGATGGGCGCAACCGTCTAAGCGTTGGCCCTATCATAAGGAGATCGCGGGTTCGATCCCTGGTGATGCTACAGCCATCCATAGCCGGGAGTCCGAGAGAGCACAACTGGCCTCGCTCTCTCTGGGTGGGTAGGATGGCCCCTCCTTCTCCCCCCATCACTTAACGCGATGCTAGTCAGCGCAGGCGTCTGTTAGCTGACGTAACTGATCTGGCGGTTGGTGCTTTCCTCCGAGCGCGTTTGGCTGTCCAATGACGTTGCGTTAGCGGCAGTTCGAAAAGAAGCGGTGGCTGGCTTCACAGGTCTCGGAGGAAGCCTGTGTTAGCCTTCACCCTCCTAGGGTTGATCATGTGATTGGGGGAGTCCTAACTAGCGGGTGGAATTGGCGACGACAAAATTGGGGAGATAACTGGGTTAAAATCCGCCAAAAAAAAGAAGCTGGAGAATGAGAAGCGACTTCAGCCTCGTAAAAAGTCAAACGTCGAGACATTGTATGAAAAATTATTCAACTTTTCCTTAAGCTAAAGCTTAAAGCAGAGCAAAGTAAGTCTGCGTTTTCGTTTATATTATATGTTTAGCCAATATTAGTACATTAGCACAAACTGAGGTATATTTACAGCCAGGATGGTAAAATGGAAATAAAATGTTGTGGCTCCCAAGGTGGTTTGATTTTTGTTGAAAGGACAAAATGGCTCTTCTTAACATTTGGAATGCTGACCTCTGATTTAAAATCTGGTCTGGCTGACCAGTGCTTCATTATGTTAAATAAAGAGTGCTGGTGATGAACTTTGACAAATCCACATGATGGCTGGGGGGCATCCAAGAGAAATATGGAACCAAATTTTGTTCTTCAAACTAGCTCACAGCATATGAACTACTTTTTTCAAAAGCAGATATTCTTGTATTTATGTTTATTTGCATATATTCTAATGATATTTGGTGGTTTTACTAGCCAAAAAAACTTATTGCTAAGATAAATGGTCTTAACTAATGTACGCAGGTGCTTGCACAGTACTGTGTCATTCATATGTCAGAATTAAACCTTGTATCTCTAAACAAAACACACACACAAACACTTTATCCCATTTTGTCAGATTCACTTACATGTGGATTTAAAAGTTCTACAACTCCAGAATGGCATCCATCTGTTTCTCTGTATAATTTGTTAGCCTCCCTTTACCCCGTTCATCAATCAGGTCCTCCAGGACCACCCCAGAGCAGGTATTATTTGGTGGTGGATCATTCTCGCCACTGTTGGACTACAATCTGTAATTGCAGAACTACAAAGTGCTCCTATATGGTAAATGGAGCTGATAAAATGGACAACGATTGCGGACACAAGGATGGTGTACCTAATAAGGCGGCCAGTGAGAATTTCAACTGAGAAATGTACTTAAATGAAGTTATAAAGTTATACGGTTATGTTTAATTTTGGGGAATTGTTTTTGTTATGCTTTGTTATGTTGTTTTTAGTTCAAACTGTCCAGTTCAGCCTGTACTGCTGTCATATTTTTAAACAGGGAGTGACTCATACTGGGTTCCTCAGGAGCACAACCGTCTTATTTATGTGGACTAAAGTAAAGATGCTTTCACTTTCTATCATGTTGTTTTTGTTGTGTGTGAATGTGTGTCTCTCACCTGTAGAGTGTTTGCGCACTCGTTCAGAACCCTTGAGCAGAGAACCCTTTAAGTCTCCTAGTGACCTTGATGACTTCATCTCACTCTGCTTGTCCCTGCTGTTCACCTGCAGAAACTACACAGAGAGAGAGAGAGAGTGAGAGAGAGAGAGAGAGAGAGAGAGAACAATCATATGCTTACAAAAGCAATAACTCAGCGAATTTAAAGCTCAATGCAGCCAGTCAGTCACGCTGTGTCTGTACTCACATGGTTGTTAGTTGGAGTTTTCAGCAGGACTCTCAGCAGGCCGTTGGTTCCTGACCTGGAGCTTAAACTCAGCACTGCCCGGTCCAAATCCTCCTGACACTTCAGAGCTACCAAAGTCTACACACACATACAAGTGCAAACAGGTTTGTTTTCATATAATGTTGGGAAGTGGGCTTATACACAGGGTGGGCAATAGGATAATACTGATTGTTATCATGATAAATTAGGTCATAATATGTTTTTGTGAGTGTATCGTAGTGACCGCCGGTTATTAAAGAACAATGAATAACGTTTCACTACAGAGAGCAATATTAGGCTTGTTTAACAGCGCAGTATGTGAAACAATCAATAAAGATCACTGTATTCATGGTGTTTGACAGTTTTGTTTAAATGTGACTGAACAACTGCATGAATCGTAAAAATGACCAATTAAAAAAGCTTTTGTAAAAAGGACAAAGTCAGAGAATTTTGCTGCTCCTGATAAGAAAAACTAGCCCTGTTTTTTTTCTACAAAATGAAGACACTTTGTCCTAAAAATGTACAAAGACACACAAATTTTCCTTGCACAGCAGTCTAGGCTCTAAGGCTCTGTATCTCTACCTCTTTGTCTGTGTAGTATAAGTCCATCTGCTGACCAAAGGCTTCCATCACTTTCTGCAGAAGTTCTTTGAACTTCAGTGGCCTCTGGAAAGGAATGATTCTGAGGGAGGAGAACACAGAGAACATACTAAATCACACAGTAAAATAGGATTATAACAGACCAGAGTCTGAGGACAAATGTAGCAGAGAGACCCATTCCCTATTGATTGCATTTCACACTGTGACAGCAATACAATGAAAATGCATGCCAGGGCTACAGAGTCCAGGATAGGGGGGCAATAAAATAATCACTGCAATCATGATAAATTACATTACAATGCCTTTTTCTGAGTAGATAGAGAGCCTGTAAACAACAACAACGTGTACAGTCATTCAGTGCACTCGTAGCCTTTTCTAAAATGTGACTACTTTTGTGAGCCAAACTCTGATTGTCTAATTTTCAGAGTGTGTAGCCATAGGCAGTGTCTGTTCATATAGCCGTACACCCGCCACTGGGCAAATGACAGGTGTTGTTGATTTTCTAAGTGAAAATAAGTTAACACCTCGGCCCAATCCCATTTCACCTCTTGCCCCTACCTCTTAACCCTTAGCCCTCTGTTTTACGCATTCACATCTAGTGGTAGGGTATCCAGATTTTTGTTGAGACAAGTGGTAGGGCGAAGTGTTAGGGATACATGGCCCTTCAAACGGAGGTTTTTCAGAGGCACACTCCAAACAGTGTTATGAGAAAAAAAGAAAAAACGGCAAGATGGCTGCGCAAGCGACCAAAAAAAACACAAAAGTGAGTATTTTCTCCCTTAAAAAATACTATAACCACTGTATTGTCTAAATATAATGTAATTTCAATGAATTATAGTCCTTTTCTTCATAACAAGCAAAAAAATCGCTAATAGTATGCTAACGTCTCAGTAGCTAGCCAGCTAAATTTCCCGTTCCACCTTAAATAGTCCAGCAGGTCTGACACCTGAAGCACTAGAATGTAGTGTAATGTACTGTGTAATGTACTGCACCATGTTAGGTGGAACAAGAAAATTCAAACGTAAAGGCTGGCGAATAGCTGACTTCAGCTTCACATCACTGAAGAATTAGGGGTGGGTGATAATAAATAATTGTCACATCCCCCCTCTTTGAAAGCATATGATGCCCTAAATGTAACTAAAGACCAGCAGTGAGGTTGCTGAACTTTACCCTCCTCCGCTATCACTACAGACTGGCAGGGTCGCCTACAGAGCACCACTAGTAGCCTGTTAATGAAGCAATATGCTTCTTTATTTGAGGTTTGTCCCATTTCATAAAGGAAGAGTTCAACCACTACCCCTTGTAACTCAGTTCCAAGAGGCAAGGTGACACTCGAAAACAAGGGATAGGGGTAAAAATAAGAAATGGGACTGGGCCATCCTCTACAGAGAACACACTTCTGCATATTTTAATGCCAAATTACTGTTTATTTGCTGAATTTAACAGATCGGGAAAAAAAATCGAACCAAAAATATACAATGTGCCACAACTTTTGCACAGGACAACTTTTATTTTTTGTCCGATATGTTAAACTTTTGCCTATTATATATATATAACTTTACATCAGAGGTAAAATACAGACTTTGAATCCAGTTTCTAGTCCTGGAGAATGCTAATGATTGGGCACCTAGTGCCATAGCTACTGGTGATTACAAAATCCAGGAATTCAAGGGAATGGATTTGAGGAACTCGAAACTTTGTGCCGTTGTGAATCACTCCCTGTTTAACCCTTTGAAGCTAACACAAAAACATGGCTGTTTCTGCAGTTTAATCTGGCCTTCTCTGTTAATCTAACAAGCTTGGGCATGGGCCTTTTTATGCCAACAGAAAAAACAGTAGCACACAGAAAGCTGCGATTCCACATGCTGATGCATTTTACTGTGACTGCCTGTAAAATGCATTAGCATGTGGATTAACATGCTGATCCTGCTTGTAAATTACACATTCAGATGCTGTCACTATTCTGGCAGCAGACTTAAGCATGTTTAAGAGGCCATCGGCAAATTCTCAGAATGGATCGCCGCACAGACACTTGGTTCTAAAGAGTTAACTATATGATAGCAATACAGGCTAAAGTGGTGAATACAAAACACTGTGATGGTTAAAATCAACACATGTAAAATGCATCCAAGCCAAACCTTTAGAATCAGAATGATGTTATAATGCATGCAAAAAAACACTTTCTTTACAAAGAGAACAGATGAAAAATATGAAAAATAGAAGGTGACTAATACAAACCAAAACCCCAAAGAATTTTCTGCTGTTTATTTGAGTTTAAGAAGTGTGATTGTCTGATGGTCAGATCAGTCATAAAGTACTATAACTATTGGAGCATAAAATTAGAATTTTAAAATACAAATATCAAATTTTATCAGCATTTAATTGATTATAAAAATTTTTAAATCTTAAAATCAGTATCAGTATCAGCAACAAAATCATATCGATAAGCTCCTAGTGTGGTTATGTGTGATTATCTGCATGTGTGTGCGCGCATCAGTGCGTTTGGCCCAATCGACCGGAGAGCACCGCTGTTTCAACACCAGTGGGCCCCACATCAGTGCGCACACAAAGGCAGATGGAGAGCTTCCTGAGAGGAAAGAGAGAAAAAAAAGCAGAACAGTGCCTGTTTCCCCTCCTCTGCTCAAGTTTAGCTTTAATCAGGCCAAACTCAGTCTACACATCCCATACTGCCCCAATGCCTGCTTGCATTCATGTACACATTATGAGTTATGTGTTTTCATATGACTTGCGTATGTCTGCGATTAACACATTGTTATGGAGCAAATTCCGTTACAGGTGTGCGGAGCGAGATCGACGGAATTAAACTGCAGAGAATGCAGCATTAGGAGCAGTAATGGCTACTGTTACAACAAACGTGCATCACCATAATAGCTTTTTAAAGAAATTTAAAGAAATTTGTTAAATGAATCCTAATCATAATTTATTGCTCATCATATCCCACATTAGTGCACATTGCAATTTATTGTCTATATTGTGTAACTCTATTGAAAAGTAATCTCAATCTCAAAGTTTCTGGCACTTCTTGGTCACTTTTACTGTGTGGCCCAGCAAACACTGACCCATATCTTATATGTTGCACAAAAGTTCCGGAGGAACATTGTTTAATTCTACTGCATACTTGTACATGAACAGGGTGACTTGACTTTTGATCCTCTGCTTTTGAAGAATCTGGTCGTCTCTGATGTTCCACGAAATCTTGCCAACAATTAGCTACTGTTTACTGATCAGCAGTTTATGCCTTTCGGCCTTGTTGTCGCTACATCAAAACAAGCTCCTATCTTAATGACTACCGATTGGCTCTTATTTGGGGGGGTGATTCTGGGAAAGTAGAGGACTGAGGCATGCAGCAGGACTAAACAAGCTGGCAGCAGAAGCTTCCCTTTACACTGATCAGAGATTAGGGTTAGCAGGTCCACTTTTCATGATTAAAGCAAAACTTTGGCAAAAAATCAAACTTACACAGTGTTCCTGTTAGCTCAAACATATTTGATCAGCTTGGTATCTGAACTTTTCTACTTTGGTTTTGCATTGGAGCTATGAGCCAAATATAGTTAGTAAGTAGTGGAAGTTAATATACCCTAGCCTCATGTAAACTGCCTCAAACTGTGGCCCATATCCTACATTTTTCTTATTTTCTTAACTTGCTAAACAATATTAAATATAATAGCTATAAAATATAACACCATGATTTTCCAAAGATAGCTATAAAATATAACACCATGACAATGATTTTTTTTTAAACATTTAAGACACGTGGATGTGGCTTTGGAACTCCCATCGAGCAGTCTGAGGCTTCTCCAGCAGGGGCAGAGATGAGCACGTAAGTCACTTAAGTGTTCCTCATATAGAGATGAAACAGCCTTAAACCTCAACAGGGTCTTACGAATACACATGCTTGTAGTAACAACCAGAAAAAAGTTAACTACCAAAAGATATTGAGCTGCATGGTATTATTTACGTGGTTTTCATTCAGTAATTTAATTTAACAGGTTAGTGATAAAAGCATGTAAATTAAAGACCATATACAACGCAGCTGCAAGGGACCATGTTTGTGCTTTAGTGTTTATCTGCTGCTGCTCATACTGTTTGAATGCAAACTCTAATCACTATTTTGCCTTACCATTCAGATTATTTGTTAAGTGTTGGACTTTGACACTTCACTGCAGCCTTATTTAATCTTTTTCTTTTGAAAATTTTCAGCCTTTATTCTCTTTGGACCATTTTCAGTTGACCGACATTTCCGTGTATCCCTACTTTGCACAATGCTAACTCACATCCATAAGCTTCTATTACTTGTTAGCTACATTAGCCTCATAGCTCCGAAGCAAAACTAAAGAAGCAAACTTCAGATACCAAACATGCCTTGGCTGATCCACAGTGGAAAAACTGTGCAAGTTTGATTTCTCACAGAACTATCACTGTAAGATTAATAGTTCAGTACTTTTCGCCAGGCCCAGTGAACGCTGGCCATGTTTCCGGTGTGTGATGGGGGAGATATGGGCGGAAACGGAGGACGGTGGGGGAAGGTGGCTGGCTGGAGAAGCGGAGGATGCACGGAACGAGATGGCTTTCCTTCCTCGATGCGCTCAGATAAGCCGCCTGGCTTGGCCCGGACCCCCAGGCTGGCACTCGCAGCGCTGCTCTCCTACTTCCTGTCCCACCACTTCAGCCGCTGCCAGAGGAAAAAAAGCTTCGAGTGGCTCCAATTAGGCTGCTTAGCCCGGCCAGCTGACACAAGCAGCCTGCGCTGATGAGGCTTGACTGACTGACTTGTCTCCGAGTGCTCGTCACATTAAAGGCTCAAAGAGTGGAACTTTCCAGAACACTTTAGCGAACTCAGCCCTATGCAGTGCCTGACTGTATGGCTACATAGACTATAATATAAGGAGGCCATATCACCTCAATATGTTACTGTGACGTTTAACGTTTTGGCTGCCAGCATTTATAGTGACACAACATGTTACTGCTGTCTCTAAAATGGTCAATTTATAGCAGAAAGACAAAAATAAAGCCTTAAAGGCGCCTAAAACTAGAGGTGAATATGTTACTTGTCATCTTATG